ACAAACAAAAAAAAAATTTGGAACACAATTTATTATATAATGTACATCTGGCTTAAATAGAATATATACAAAAATTCTATATCATCACTACCACTACGAAAATTCTTGATCCAAGGACAAATCTAGTGTATATATAGAGATCTAGTGGTAAGAAGTAAAGTTTCATTTTCACAAAAAAAATAGAACCAAATTTCTAGCATTTTGACTAACATTTTTGTCAAACACAATTTCATTCGCTACCAATTCATTTTTTATTTCAAGTGATCATTCATTCCTGGTACTTGATTGAAGTAAGTAGTCAACTAGATTCTTCTTCTTTATTTCCCTATCCAATTCAATTCTATCCAGGTTAAATGTTTGTGCCAATTTAGTTGTGTGTGTGTGTGTGTGTTGTTGGCGCCAAAGAAATTGAAATTTTGAAAAAATTGTCTATTTTGAATATGATAATGTGATAGAAAAGAATAGACGACGCAGTGCGCACACATCATTTTCATCATAATAAATCATCATATTAATAAATATTCAACAACAAATACCAATACCAAAAACAACAACAACAACAACATGGATAAAATCCTAATCATTGTGATTGCTATATTCATAGCCATAATTATCGTTAATGGTGATAATCGATTATTATCATCAGCTTCACAGCCATCAACAACGACAATGTTTTCAATCATCAATATTACTACTATTGATGATCATAATAATAACGATAATCGAACCATCAATGATGATGATCATCATCATCATGAAAATTATTCATCATTAGTATCACATCATCTTGATCATCATCATCATCATCATCATGATAATCATCATCATTATTCTTATTTTCTAACATCAATACCTTTGAATTATTCAAAAAATTCATATAAACATCATTCAATAATCTCCAACAATAATGATAATAATGTGAAACATTCAAAAAAATTGCCAACAAAAATGTTTAAAAAAGATGCACAACCAAAATTGACATCAATGAAAATGATAATGATGGCAAAAGAACTACGTATGTATATATCATATTCCAAGAAATGGCTGTCTTATTTTGATTTATTTTCATTTTTTATTTTTATTTTTTTAAACAAAAACAACATCATATGAAAATTCAGATGAAAAACGAACAAATATACATGGATCAAATTATATCGATAATAATAATAATAATAATAATGATAAATTATGCTCACAATATCATAATAGCTGTCATGAATGTTTGCGACAGAATCACCATCATCATTATGGTTCAATAGAATTCAAGAATCAAGAATCCAATATAAACATTGACGATGATGGAATTGATAATAAAAATCATCAAAACAATAATGACAACGATGATGATAATAATGATCAATATGGTGATGAAGATCAATATTGTATTTATTTAATTTGTGGTATGTTTATCCATATTTCGGTAGCAATTTGTTTTTTTTAATATCTGTCTTTTTTTATTCATTTGTTCGTTATGAAAACAACACCCATAGAACGACGAAATTTTTGTATTAATATCAAAAATCCATTATTGAACTATTTCAATATGGATAACCGGATTATGGATTCACATTGTCGATTATTGAATGAATGTCCAATATCGAGCAGCAATGATAATGTTGGTGATAAAACAAAAGAAAAAGAACAAAACAATGATAATAAAAAAATTGAACAACATCATCATAATCAATATTATTACAATACGAACAATGAAAAAGTGCCAAAATTTAGCAATTATAAACAAGATAATAATGAAGATGTTTTTAATCAACGAAAAAAACATTTTCATCATCACCACCACCACCACCATCATCATCATCATCATCATCAAAATCATCGTTCACATCATAATCATCATCATCATCATCAACAACAACAACAACAACAAACGGCATCCGTTTCATTACCATTATCATCATCATCATCATCATCATCATCAAATAATTATCGAAATTTTTTCACAACTGGAACCTTATTTCAAACACCAATAATAATGATGAATAATGCACAAAAACGACAACAACAACAACGAGAACAATTGAATAATGACGATGATGATGATATGACAATGAAATTACAACAAACATTAAAATTGAATGATAAAAAAAATCGATTATATGGATCATCATTGTTTACATCGGAAATTGGATCAAAAAAATCTACAGCAATACACAGTAGTAGTAGAAGCGATAGTACAACTATTGATATGAACAGAATAAATTCATCAAATAATAATAATCATTATCATGCCTTAGTTTATCATATTAGTTTAGGCACAATAATGGCCTTAATGCTATGTAGTACATTAGTATTGGCAGCCGTTATAACTGTTGCATATAAAAAAATTCATCGTATCTATTTAAATCGTAATAATACATATGATACATTAAATAATGAAACATCATTATCACCATCATCATCATCGATTACAATAGCATCTAAATCATGAATCATAATGATTGATTGATTGATTGAATGAATGAATAATAAAAAAAAAATAATCAGAAGAATAATTTCAGAATCAGATTTTTTCTTTTTGTTATTCATTTTCATTTTCTATTGTCTTGAATCTTTTTTTTCCAATAAAATTCATAATTCAATTTGAAACTTATGATTCTTGTTGTTATTATTATTATTATTTGGTTTGTTGATTTTTTTCTGTTTCAAAATTTTTTTCTTTTATGAACAAGCAAAAAAAAAATAAAGTAAGAGATAAAGATTAATTATCATTGTTGATGAAAAAAAATTGTCTGTTTTTTTTGTATAGAATTTAAATGAAAAAATGAAATTAAATGAATATATATTTCCCTCATTGCAAATGATGAATATATATCATATTTTTATTGATAGAGCTGCCATCTTTTGGAATTTTAAGGGAAACAAAATGAAAAAAATTTTTTTTTAGATGAAACTGTTTTAGAAAAAACAAAATTCGCCAATAAAATATATTGAGATTATATAAAATTGATTGAAAATTCAATTGTTTTTTTTTGTTGTATGTGAATAAATAAATGAAGAATTGAAACATAAACAAAACTAAAAAAAAAAATCTAGATTAAATTGACTGGTCAAAAACATTGTTACGACAAAAAAAACAAAATCAGGATATTCTGATTCAATTATTTATCTGTCACTGGTTTATAAGGCAATTTTTTTTTGGGTAATTTTCTTTGCTGAATCTGTTTGACTAGAATAATTTTTCGTTCGTTTTGATCGTCCAGTTGATGATTTAGTAGCCATTAATGTTTCAGCTTTTGTAGAACGATTTTTTTGCGTACTTTTTGTCTTCTTCGTTTCTTTTGGTTTTTTACCCGATGATGATACAGCTTTTGAAGAACGACTTTTTTGCGTACTTTTTGTCTTTTTCGGTTCTTTTGATTTTTTGTTCGATGATACAGATTTTGAAGAATTTTTTCGAACACTTTTTGTCGTTTTTGTTTCACTTGATTTACCATTCAATGATCCAGCAGCATTCTTACGATTAACCGATTGTCGTTTAATACCAGATGACTGATTTGATTGAAGACAATTGATTGAAGTTTTTTGCCGAGTAACTCGTTTACATTTTTCAACTTTCTGTTTTGTTGAACCAGAAGGCACATTTTTTTGGACAATTTGAGCTGATTTCCGTGATTCAGTTTCTGAATGACAACTTTTTGACGATTTTGGTATGAAATTCAACGTTTTGAACATTGGAGCATGGTTTGGATTCTCTGAAATTGACAACTTTCGTTGTACAAATACTTGTGGTTTTGATTGATCCTGAAATTTGAGATTTGTTTTGAAAGTTGTTTGATGTTGAAACGATTGAGATTGCTCTTTGATCGATCCATCATTTGTTGCACAATTTGGATACTTTGAATAATCACTCAACAATAAACATTTGAAATCACGTGGTTCCAGATAATAAAGCCAAGTTGATTTTGAGGCGAAAAATTTTGTTTTCCATTCTGATGGTAGATGAGGCCAATTACAGATTAATCGTGGCCATTTCAAAAGACGACCAGTTACATAGAACATTTCTCGTAATATTTCTGGACGATATGAACGAATTTTGAATTGATCTATATCCCAATATTCTAATGGATAACGTTTAACAACTGGAGTAGATGGTAAAGGTGATGACCAGAACAGACAATGTTGACTATACTTTTTTGTGGCAGGTTCTTTTACAAAACAATAGAGAAAGATTTCAACTGGATATCCTTCATAGACAGCCAAACGGATCAAATGTTTTGATCGTAATGGACCGTCTAAATCAAATGTACAGCTTAAAACTTTTTCACATTTTTCACAACGAAATGTGAATTGATTAAGAAAAAGAAGCCATTTCTTTTTATGATCATCATACATTTTTATTTTCTCCATTGATAGATTCTTCTTTCAATTGATAATTAGTCTAGTTGATAAATTTAAAAAAAAACATTAAATTATCATCAATATAAATTATTAAAAAATTCATACGGTCCAAAATGATGAAATTTGAGATGTTCCAAAGCGGACTGTGAACAAAAAATAATGTCCTTAATTAAGATGTTTTGAAATTTGAAAATAAAACATTTCGTAACAATCATTATGTTTATTGTTGATTTAAAAAAAAAATGAGATTTCATGTAAACTTACCCAAAAAAATGGACAGATGAGATAGAATCAAATGAAGATTGATCGATAATTTTTCTAATCAATTAATATGCAAAGATGGAACAATTGATGGAAAACTTTTTTGACAAATTTGAAATAAAAAAATCAATTTCAAAGCCAAAACAACTGTTGCATTATGATTATTGATTTAATATTATATCAAATAGGCAAATGGTTGTTTCAATAAATTATTAATCGGGAAAAAAAGTGGACGCCATATAATAATAATAATAATGAATGATCAATGCTAGTGGCATGATATAATGATAAAAGCCAATCAATTTAACCCATAATAGACATGCGTTGTAGTAAAAAAAAACAAAAAAAAAACAAAAAAAAATTCTCTCTTCATTCCTTTTTTTCAACGTATTTTTATTTTTTCTATTGACCGGTGTCGGCGGGAAAGCATAACATAGATGTATGTGTTGTAATGTATGTGTGTGTGTTTGTGTGTATGTCTTTGTTTTTGAAATTTGAGGATGCATTACATAATGAAGCACAAAGTTATTTAACACCACCACCTACAATTATTTTATCGAACTAAATTATTCAATATAGCATTAAAAATTGTGTGAAATATATTTAATTTAAAAAAATCATGATTGACAAACACTGATCAATGGATTGTCCGGGTTTTTGTCTGGGAAAAGTTATGGTAAGTCTAACTCTAACTGTTAATCGATCGATTTGTATTGGATTGTTGTTGTTGTTGTTGTTGTTGTTGTCCATCGGATGTACTAATTATTATTTCATTGGCCATCGAATTATTAGAATCGATTTGTGTAGTAGTTGGAATTAATCGTCGTAATTTGGAAGGATCATTACAAAATGTAGAAAATACTTGATCCATTGCTGTTTGTAAGATGGTCATATCTGAACGACAATGATGAAAAATTTTCATTAGACTATCAACTAATGAATCTTTCAATTTTTGGTCTTCATTCATTTTTCGGCTACGTTTAATTGATTTTTTTCCAATACGAGATGATGATGGTTTTGATTCATTTGACGAATCTTGGTTCATAGTTTTTTGATCTCGTTTCATATCATTACACACTGATGTAGAAGATGCTGTATGAAGATTTTTCTTATCATTTTCAGCTACATTTGTTCGATTCAACAATGATTGTGGTCGTTTTGATCCAATTAATTGTGCATAATTTTTTGGATCATATGGAATTGTTCGACTTTTCAATAATTTTGGCAGGCTTGGTTTGATAATAGGCAGTTTTGTTGAGTTTGTTTGTGCAGATATTTCTGGAACACAAGGAACTTTTGAAGTTTTTCGTTTTATAAACGATTGCGATTTTTCTGATTCCGAATTTGAATTTGTTGCAGTAACCAATTGGAATCGACAAGATTCTGTGTTTGATTCACAAATGCATAAACATTCTAGATCAATTGAATCAAGATAATATTTGCAATTTGATCTAAAAATGGCCTTTGATTCATCGGGACAGCTCCATAATGATCGTGGACATTTCAAAAGACGTTCGGTTATGTTCACCATTTCAGGCAATGTTTGTGGCAAACGTTGACGAATATTAGCATCATCCATGTCCCAATAGATTAATGGCTCATAATTTCCATAAACAATTCTTGATAAAGAAGATGAAGCCATAAAAGTACAATGCTGATAATTGATTGGGAAACTTTTTTTATTGAATGTTTTACCAACAAAACAATAAAAAAATAATTCCATCGGATAACCATTACAAACGGCTAAACGGATCAAATGTTTTGATAATGATGATGAATTGCCATCATTCGTATCAATTGATTCGTCACATTTTTCACAATGAAAAATGAATCGATCAATGAAATTACGCCATTTAGTAGATTCTTTATTCTCAAGACAATCGGACATGTTTTTTTTGGATGATTTTCGTTTTTAGATGATAATAAATTCTTGTCATTAAATGAAATGAAAGCAATAAAAATTGAGCTATTTTTTACATTGTCAACTTACCCAAAATTGATAATCTTGGATTATCGAATGAAAACAAAAAAAAAATTGAATTCAACTGGTATGCAAAAATTGTGTCTATTGTAATACACTGGACAATATTTATCGTTTGCAGTCATTAAAAGACTGATGAAAAAAATGAAATAAAATTTTATTTTTATAAGTGAATTGAAGAAATTTGAGAATACAAAGATAAACAAAACAAAACAACAACAACAACAACAACAACAACTACAAACAAGATTGACAACTGTTGCACTGATTCAAACACAGGGAATAACTGAATTTCGAAATGATCACCAAGCCAAATAGTAACAAATTGGCAACAATTAAATTGATTTTAACAAAATCCTGGTAACCGACAATAGTTCAGTGAATGAATTGAAAACTGGACGCCATGATGATGATGATGATGATGATGGTGATGTAAATGATGATAACGATAGTAGTAGTAAAACAAAATATAAAAACATTGATATTTTTTTTTTTTTTTTTGGTTTCTGTTTTGGACATGCGTTGTTTGTAATTGAAAATTTAAATGGAAATTGAAAGAGAAAAAAAAATTCATGCTATGACCGTCGCGTGTTAGCATTCACATCTGGTTGCCAATGGGTGTACAGATACACCTAATACAACTGATGTTTGTTTTATTTTTGGTGGAATAAATCCACAGAATTTATATGGATACGTCCTTCGGTCCGATCATATTATTATTTTAAGATATGGGTAACCAAAATATGTGTGTGTAAGTGTCCGTAATTTTTTTTCTTTTATTGAAAGATTTATCACCTACCATTTAAATGTGATGGATTTATATAAACAAACAAGGTGAAAAAAAATGGTCGAGATTCAAAGGAAAAAAAACATGAAACAATTATCATCTTGAATTGGTCATTATTTTTATTTGACAGAGATGGCTAGTAGCTGTTTGTTTGTTTGTTTTGCTTTTGTTTTGTGTTCCCATTATCATAATGGTCTTGATTTGTTTTGATTGTAAATTACTTACTTGCTGTATGGAAAAAAAACCAATTATCCATTCCGGTTAAACATTGGATATCCAGATGTTTATGTTTATTTTTGTTTTCATATTTCATTTTATTAGATGTAAATGATGATTATTGTCTAGCAATTAAAAATTATTATTATTGTGATCTAATGATAATGATGATATTGATCACCAACACAATATTTTATTGATATTGATCAATGATTTTTTGTTTCTACATTTCTACACATGTCACACAACATGCATACATTTTGCAGCCAATCATCATCATTTTTATGATTATTGCACATGATGATGATGAAAAAGTAGTAACGTTACGCCAAACCGATCGCAAAGATTGAGTGAAGCAAAAGAAAAGTATCGATTTGAGTATCGATCAACACAAACACATGAGCACATGAACACACACACACACACAGGCGTAAATAAAATGAATGAAAAAATCAACTATATAAACAACAGGAGGAGCAAAAATGATGAGAAAAACTTCACTTCTTTTTTAAACATTATAGGTGAATATATAACAATCAAAAAAAAGCTAAAAAAAACTTGAAGGACAAACACACAACAAACACTTACCTGTTGATTGAAACAAGAAAAGCAGTATCAACAAGTATTTCAAAAAAAAAAGATGGAGCTAATGATTTCAACAGCTAAGCAACAGACGAATCAATCAAGACTGGTTTGGACCATTCCGGACAACCATTTTCTACGAATCGATTTATCAATCTGAACAATCTGATCACGTGAATCATGATGTGTGTGTGTGATCTATATACCAACCATTTCATCATGACAACCACAACGAATTGTTTGCAAAAAAAATGAACATTAATTTTTTCTTCGTTTCGTTGCTATTATGGCCACATTTTTCTTTATTGGCCATTATAAGAAAAAAAACCACGAATGAAAATTTATTATACAAAAACTAACCAAAATAAAGTAAAAAAAATATGCCATTTTGATGTTTGTTTTCATTTCATTTTTTTTTTTTTTTTTTTTTTGGTTCGTTCGTTCCGTTTATAGTCGTTAGATCTCGTCGTTTGCATATTGCAAATCAGCCAAATCCAATGCCATTTATTCAGTACACAATTGTATGGTTACAATTTCAAATTATGGTTTTTTTATGGTTGTTTCTTACCAAATAAATTCCCAAGAATTCATTCATCCAATCGAAAACAAAACAAAACAAAAAAATTATTTCTTCTTACTCGACTCTACTTTCTCGAACAATTTTCAGTTTTGTTGTTGTTGTTATTGTTGTTGTCGTTGAACACACACACACACACACACACACACAATATAAAAATCCAAATTGAACACAAAATTATTGTTTTTACATTTCATTATCATCATTTATTGATAAATAAATAAATAAATAAAAAACAATGATGATAGTGGGTGTGGGTGTGTGTGAAAAAAGGCTTTAAAATGTAAAGAGAGAGAGAGAGAGAGAGAAAATCAATTTTTTAATAATAATAATAATCATAATAATCAATCTCAATCAATAATTAAAAATCGAAACAAACAAAAAAAAAATAGAACAAATAAATATTTCTTTCAAAATGAATAAGAGAAGAGGAAGAGGAAGAGGAAGTGGAAGAAGAAGAAGAAGAAAAACAAAATGAAATAAAATAATTAATCATCATCATCATGATCATGAATGACAATAAAAGTGAAATGAAAAATGAAAAACAAACAAACAAACAAATATAGTTGAAAAAAGGGACACATAATAATAAGTAAATAAACAGAAAAAAAATGAGCAACTTCCAATAGTATATGATGATGATGATGATTCACAACAAATAATGTGTGTGTGTGTGTGTGTGTAGTGTTGTTTTTTTTTAATTTTTAAAAAATAAACAGAAAAAAAAATTCAGCTGATGATCAGGTTCAGAATGGATTGTTGCAAAAGATGTGTATAATGATAATCATGATGATGATGATGATGAATATGAAAAAAAAAATTTTAGAGAAAAAGAATGTGAAAAAAATGATGATCACATCTGAAAGTCTTTTTTTTTGTTTTGTTTTGTTTTGTTTATTTGAGAAAATATAAATTTCTTCTTCTTCACAAGTATAATGGGTTGTTAATGTTGATTTTGTTGTTGTTGTTGTTGTTGTTTTGAATATTAAACAATTATAATGAATGAATAATAATAAAAATATAATAATTCTATATATAATTTGAAAGAATGAATGAAAAAAATTATGGCCACCAAATTAATTAATTAATTTTTTTTGTATTTAAAAATGATGGATAATTACGATGACGATGATGATTATGATGATGATGATGAATATTGAGCCATATTTTATATTGAGTTTGTTATATTTGATGAGAATTGAAAATAAAAAAAATTGAATTAACAATTTGGCAACCGAAACAAACAAAATCAATCAATAGCCATCAGCAATAGAAATTTGATTTCAAAAATCATAAACCAAATGTTCCCGTTATAAATGACAATGGTTGATATAATACCAATACAAAACAGACAAATATGACGAATAAAGGCAATACGGCGATACCAAGTGACTGGATTTAGTTTATAATAATAATAAAAAAAATTCGTTTTATCAGATAATATCAAAAAAAGACAATAAATTTAGCACATTTAAAATGAACACACCCACACACACACACACACACACCACTTACCACTTGATTCTGTAATGATAATAAATCATGTTTTTCTTTCAATGATTCAATCTCTTGATTCAAACATTCATTATTGGCCATCAATATTTGATTTCGTTGTATTAATTTGTCCATTTTTTTCATTAAAATCTAATTTTTTTAAATGGAAAAAAAAATTTTTTGTCAAGATAAACACATTTTAAATCATATCGTTAATCATATATCTAACCTGATCAATATTATCACAATCAATTTGTTCATCATTTTGAATGGCTACTGTTTCATCGCCATCATCATCTTCAACATCAATGGCCATTGTTAAATGCTTCAACATTAACATTTTCGATGATGATGATGTTTGCTGTTGTTGTAAATCTTCATTATTCTGTGTTGTGGCCATCAATAATTTCGGTTCAATTTGTTGTTGTTCAACTTGTATTGATTTTTCCGATTTCAATATGTTGTTGATTGATCCGTCGTTTGTTTGATGTTCACGATTAGATTCTTGTAATTGAATATGTAAACATTGAATATCACATTTTAATTTATTATTCTCATCGATTTGTTGTTGTAATGATTCATTCTGTTGACGTAGTAAAGAAGAACATTGTTGATTTTTTCTTTGTAAATTTTTGACTATCTCATCAATAATTGATTGCACCCTAATTATCGTCGTATCCATTGATTTTAATTTCTCATCAATTAAATCATCAATCATCGACAATTGTTTTACAATTGATTGATTACAAATTTCCATTTGTTCATAATGATTTAATAGGAAATTTTTAACTTGTTCATATTGTTTTGGTTCGATTGATGTTGAATCTGTAGTTTTTTAAAAAGGAAAACAAAACAAAACAAAATAATATAATCATTAGAAATTTTGGCACGAAAAACAGAAAGAAAACTATATTGTTAAACATACCTCTAACATCGACTGATTCATTCCGATAATCTGTTTGTGTTTGTTGATGATTTTCAGATAATTTTCGCACTTGTTTTTCATCATTCACATCTATCATTGTCTGAACATTTTGATCCATCATAATCGGTAGAATTGTATTCGTTGATGTGGTTGATTTTTTCACTGCTACCACTTGTTGCTGAATTTGTTGACCACTATTGTTGGCAAATTTTTGCTGTTTAAATTTCATATCTTCATCTTCCAAACGTTTCATTTTGGCCATTAGTTCATCTTTTTCTTTTTTTAATTTATCACAATTTTGTGCCAAACATTTCAACTCTTTAACATTAGAATCTAATGATTCCTGTAATAAACGACATTCATCAATTTTGGCATTTAATCTCGTTTTGGCTGTTTGTAGATTTGTTTCTGTTAGAATCTTATTTTCCAATGCTTTCTGTAATGAACATTTAGATTCTTGTTCAAATTTTTCCTTATCGGCAATCAATTTTAAATTATTCTGTTTGAGCGCTTCAATAATGGATGATTCTGGTGAATCACGATTTTTTGCAATCAAACATACTTCAAGCTGTGCTTGTAATGTTTGTATACGGCTTAAGAAACGATCCTCTTCAACCAATGATCGCCAACCATTTTTAGCTGAATCAAGTGCTTCTTTCATTATTTGTCGTGTAGAATCTAATTGTTGTTCCAATAATCTTTGTTTCTGTACTGATTGATGTATTTGACAAACAAGATCAATTAATTGACTAGGCGGTATCTGTATAGATGAATTTGGATAATTGAGTAAAAATTGTCTGTCACCATCATCAAAACAACCATCAGCTAATAGACGATGATTATGATCTTTTGTTGCTTCCGTACCATCAGGATGAAATAAACGTATAGTTGCTATAACACAGCTATGAACATTTTTCTTTTCAGTCACTTCAACACCAAATTGTATACAATCACCAGAATAAACAACTTGAGGTAATGAACGTTCATTTGTTGTGGATAAACGATGTCCATTGACAAATGTACCATTTGAACTACATGTATCTTTCAGGTAAAACTGATTAATCAATAAAAACAGAAAAAAATTAAATGATTAAATTAAAAAAAAAATGATGACAGTGAATTAAACAAAATTACACAAACTATACCTTTCCATCTTCATACCAGAATAAGGCATGATTACGTGATAAAACTTTACAATCAAAAATAGCATTATTTAATGATGTCGATGTTCTACCAATCGAACGGCCAACTTTTGCCTTTTGTGTAGCTAATGATATACGTCTTTCAATAAAATGACAAGAATTTTCTTTCTTTGTCAATATAATAATTGGCTCACCAAATGATTGATGATTTGTATGATTCACATTTAAAATTGATGTTGATGATGATGATGATGACGGCGAGGATGATGTTGAATTTGTCGTATCAATATTTTCAACATATGATGCTGATGTATTGTCATTCGTTGTTGTTGTTGCTGTTGTTGATGATGATGATGATTGTGGTGAAACTGATATCGAATTCGTTGTTGTAGCTGTGTCTATTGTCGATAATGATTGTTCTGTGATTGGCATTAAACGACTAGATTTTGTAAATATTGTTGATGAATCATTTAATGGTATTGATGTATTTGCAGTCTGAACGGATTCAATCATTGTTGTATTTGATAATTTATTATTTAAATCAACAAATATTGGCGATGTATTTGGTTGTTGCTGTTGTATTGGCGATGATGATGATGATTCTATTGATGAATCACCATTTATAATCACATTTAAATTCTGATTTTGACGATTATTATTATTTATAATGGCAGCATTTTTTATTTTCGAATAATTTTCATCATTACTTGTTGCTGTCGTTGTCATTTTCGATGATACAGGACCATTAATCATGAATGTGGTCATTTTTTGTTTCAAATTATTTGGATATGATTGATATTGTTCAATAATCATTTTTTTATCATCATCATCACCATCACCATCATTATCATTATCGATATTTTTAATATCAATAAAACGTGTCATATTTTTTTCAATTCTAAAACGATCATTATTATTATTATAATGTGGATGATGATGATAAAAACGATCATTTGGATCCGGTATTTTACGATTAGATTTTAATGTACGATCAGCATCATCATCATCATCATCATCATCATCATCTTCATTATCATAGTCATCATTGTCTTTATCAATTGAATAATTTTCTTGATCACAGCTATTTATATTCACCTTATTTGGATGATCGATATTATTCACATTATTATTATTATGATTCGTAACAAATGTTTGCATTGATAATAAATTATTCTTGCCTATTATTGGTTTCGTTGATGATGTTGATGAATTTAAATTTCCAACCGGTACAGAAATCACAGTACAACGATCATTATCATCATCATCATCATTTTCAATTGATGAATTTGATGATAATTCTTGATCAATAGTAATACCTGGATAATGATCGATTAGGACATCATTTTCATCAACTTCAACATCAGCCGAAGAAGAAATGATGAATGTATTATCACCATTATTCACCAATAAAGAATTTGCATCATCTTCAATCATTTTGTTGTTACAGGTATTCATTATTGAAACAGTACCATTCGATGCTGCTACTGTTGTTGTCGATGATGACGATAATGAGTTTGGTTTTAACAATTCTGTATCGATCTTTTGTCCATTTGTATTCGATTTCATCAAGTTTGATGTTAATGGTGGCGATGAAGACATTTTTCTTTTTTAATCGTTATTTTCATTGATTCTTATTATGTTTTCAATTCAATCAAATAATCCATTAACGGTTTCTCCATGATTAGACGCTTAACGATTGGTTTGATTTGATGAACCATTATATAACGCACGTATGTAAGCTTTTCATTGATCTAGAAAATAAGAAAAAAAATGAAGATATTAGTAACGAAAAAAAAAATACAAATATCCAAGATTGTAGATTTTTTTAATAAATCAAACTTTTTAATGACAAAAATGAATGAATTTATATAAACAATAAATATAAGATATATAAGAAAACGAAAACGACCATAAAAAACACACACACTTCATACAAACAAAAGACAACACGTAATGGTGTTAAATTCGTCATAGTTCATTCAACAAACGACTCAATGTGTTGATGATTTGTGAAACATAAAACAGAAAAAAATTTGCTCATTATTATAATGCTTACAGTCACAATCTCTATGGAAGGTTCATACTGATATGAATCTAGTGATTTGAATTGGCATAGAATTAGCACCTGCATCAGTGGATAATATTCATTCGTAAACCAGAAGATTTATTAAAAACAACGGCATGGTGTAACGTTATTTGAAGTTAGTTCAACCTCAAAATGTAAATATATTATATTTTATCTATGTTTCTCAAACCAGAGGGTTTTCAATGTCTATTTAAATAATCATATATTATTTATGATGATCAAAAGAAACTTTTATCATTATTTTGACCGACAAATTCGGTTATGGCTACTACAATGCTGAAATATGATTCTCCATCCTCTCATACAAACAACGGCATGGTTTTTTTGACAAGTAACAGCACAGTTTGAAGTTAGTTCACAAACTCAAAATGTATTATCTCTTACTTATATATATTATATTTTATCTATGTTTCTCAAACCAGAGGGTTTTTTTCGAATGATTATCTGATGAACTGATTAAATAGCCAACAACCAATTGGGCAAGAGTCATACAATAATTGTGTTGATTTTTGTTTTGTTTCAAATAATTATTGGGCTTGTCGTCTGCTTCGTAATCTATACCATAACACATTACATAAACATCGATGATATTTAATGAGATGCTTGTTGACAAAAGAATCAGTGATTGTTGTTTTTTTTCAGGCAAATATTCACAATTTCTATACGATTATCGATAGTGTTTGTTAGTGTGTTTTGATGAAATAGTATCAGTAAAAGAACAGCACAAAAAAAATGTTTATTTTTCGTATTACAACCGATGGTTATGGTATGGCTCATCAGATGATCCGAGTGAGACGAGATGATAACATCGAACAATTATTGGACATTTATATAGACGGTCCACCACCATTGTCTCGTAATTGGCTGGTTATAATACCTAATAGTTTAATTCTTGATCGTATGTATTAATTTTTCAGTTTAAAATGACAACAATAAAATAATTAATCTAATCATCACATGTATGACAAAATCATTTGATTTTGTTTGCGGTTTTATTCATTTTTTACTGCCCATATTTTGATTCAAATTTTAGGACCAGAAAATTGGCACAATATCCGCGATATGGTTCAACAACTTCCATTATATCCATTAGTTCAACAAGAATTGAATTCAATTGCTCGAAGAATTATTGTCGGTAAGTTGAATTGACATTCAAAACTATGTACTTATATTTAATATGAACATTTTATTCCAGTGGAAGAAATACCGGCAGCAATACAACATTGGTATCGATTGCATGGTAATAGTCCACGTTATGGAAATTTTCGTATTACTTCATCTTATGTCAGAATTTCTTAATTCTTGTGGAGGGAAAAAATGAATTCACATGAAAGAAAAACGCAAAAAACCCTTTTTCTTGAATCAACAACAAAATTCAATTTCATTCTCTTTCATTAATAAAAATGGGATTTTTTTTTTTAACAAAAAACTGTATCAATTTTATTCACTGAATTTCACAGAATAATTCTATTCCAATTCCGTGTATTCGAAACATCATTATAGTGATCATTATCCATTATTGAATAATAAATCTGGCAGATAGAAATCGATTTACACATCCATATGATCCAACTTATACATAACAAATTCCACCATTTCTTTGGCATATCAATGACAAAATACGATTAGATAACTGGATGAAAAAATGGATTATTCATTTTGAATAATATCAACCGTTTAGCAATTCAACAATCGTTCGCTTGTGTAGCCACCTGTCGACTTGGAAAATAATGAAAACATATTCACATGGTTTCACTTTACAATTCTTAACTGAATTTCAAATTCGTTTTAGGAATTTTCATTTATGAATTTAATTTGCCAAAACCTGTCCATCGATAATCGCTAGAACAAATGGTGAAATTATCAACCGAATACATGAAATTAATGATTTTAAAATCCGAAATAATGGCGAAAAACGTTCCGAATACGATACGTTCTCTATGAAGAGTTCACATAATGGTAATACTTTCAATATTGCTTACTCATTGTTTACGCAACTCATTTCGCAAAACGTTTATAGCCAGTGAAATTTTGATTTGATTCGATTTTTATTATTAATAAAACTTTGATCAAATTGAAATATAAGTTAGTCTTTTGTGAAAAAAATGAATGTACACCCTCTTAATTTTTTCTTTTATTTTGAGGCTGCACCTGTTAATAATAATAATAATAATTATATATATAATATATATATATATTATTAACATCATCATCATCATCATAACGTTTTTCGTTTTTTTTCACGAAACACACCTATCTATATTGTTATGGTGATGAAAAATTGGAGGATTTTTTACGATATGTAACAATAGGTAAGCAAATTCTAACCATTTGATTATTGAATGACGCTGCAAATTATTCATTTTTCATTCATTTAGCGGAGCATCCAGCCAATCTAATGCTGAACACAAATTATATACATCCCTTTGCGGAATCTGTTGAAATGACAGTTACCACGCCCACCCAAAGTTATTCGATTTGCAATGGTTATTGCATAAATGTCGAACATCCAAATAATGTTATGGCTTCACAAATAGAATGCCGTTTCGTGATAAGATACACGCCAGCAGAAATACATTTTAGAGTATTTGCTGATCCTAAAATGACAACAACAAAATAATTAATCCAATCACATGTATGACAAAATCATTTGATTTTGTTTGTGGTTTTATTCATTTTTTACGGCCCATATTTTGATTCAAATTTTTGGACCAGAAAATTGGGACAATATCCGCGATATGGTTCCACAACTTCCATTATATCCATTAGTTCAACAAGAATTGAATTCAATTGCTCGAAGAATTATTGTCGGTAAGTTGAATTGACATTCAAACTATGTACTTATATTTAATATGAACATTTTATTCCAGTGGAAGAAATACCGACCGCAATACAACATTGGTATCGATTGTATGGTAATAGTCCACGTTATGGAAACTTTCGTATTACTTCATCTTATGTCAAAATTTCTTAATTCTTGTGGAGGGAAAAAATGAATTCACATGAAAGAAAAACGCAAAAAACCCTTTTTCTTGAATCAACAACAAAATTCAATTTCATTCTCTTTCATTAATAAAAATGAGATTTTTTTTTGAACAAAAAACTGTATCAATTTAATTCACTGAATTTCACAGAATAATTCTATTCCAATTCCGTGTATTCGAAACATCATTATAGTGATCATTATCCATTATTGAATAATAAATCTGGCAGATAGAAATCGATTTACACATCCATATGATCCAACTCATACATAACGATTCAATTATTTCTTTGACACATCAATAGCCAAATACGATTAGATAACTGGATGAAAAAATGGATTATTCATTTTGAATAATATCAACCGTTTAGCAATTCAACAATCGGTCGCTTGTGTAGCCACCTGTCGACTTGGAAAATAATGAAAACATATTCACATGGTTTCACTTTACAATTCTTAATTGAATTTCAAATTCGTTTTAGGAATTTTCATTTATGAATTTAATTTGCCGAAACCTTTCCATTGATGGTCGCCGGAACGAATGGTAAAATTATCAATCGAATACATGAAATTAATGATTTTAAAATCCGAAATAATGGCGAAAAACGTTCCGAATACGATACGTTCTCTATGAAGAGTTCACATAATGGTAATACTTTCAATATTGCTTACTCATTGTTTACGCAACTCATTTCGCAAAACGTTTATAGCCAGTGAAATTTTGATTTGATTCGATTCTATAGTATTAAATCATTTTTATTTTATCAAATTGAAATTGAAATATTTGTTAATCTTTTGTAAAAAAATGAATGCACACCCTCTCAGTTTTTTTTTGTTTTTGAGGCCGAGCCAGGCCTAATTAATTTGGTCATCCCTCGTTACCTTAATCGATTCTTCGATTTGTATTTTGAATTGACGATTTTTTCTAACCCGCCCCCATCCGGGTGGTGGGGTGTTCAAATATCTGAAAACTATTTTTATTCTGGTAAGAAAAAATGATTTTAATAATTCAGATAAAATGGGTAATTTTTTTTTTTTGACTCTAGTACCATTTCGAGATCGTCGAATACTTGAAAACATTCGATTTTATGTACGCCTTGGAATGGCCTATATTTTGGGTGGTGAAGAATTGAACAATTTTCTACGATATGTGACATTAGGTAAGCAAATTCTAACGATTTGATTATTGAATGACGCTACAAATTATTTGTAATTCATTTAGCCGAGCATCCAGCAGATCTAGTGGTGAACACAGACCACGAACATCCCATTACGACATTTGTGGTAATAGAACGAAGAAATTTTTGTATTAATATCAAAAATCCATTATTGAAATATTTCAATATGGATAACCGGATTATGGATTCACATTGTCGATTATTGAATGAATGTCCAATATCGAGCAGCAATGATAATGTTGGTGATAAAACAAAAGAAAAAGAACAAAACAATGATAATAAAAAAATTGAACAACATCATCATAATCAATATTATTACAATACGAACAATGAAAAAGTGCCAAAATTTAGCAATTATAAACAAGATAATAATGATGTTTTTAATCAACGAAAAAAACATTTTCATCATCATCACCACCACCATCATCATCATCATTATCAAAACATTCGATTTTATGTACGACGTGGAATGGCCTAATGATGATGATCATAATAATAACGATAATCGAACCATCAATGATGATGATGATTATCATCATGAAAATTATTCATCATTAGTATCACATCATCCTGATCATCATCATCATCATCATGATAATCATCATCATTATGCTTATTTTCTAACATCAATACCTTTGAATTATTCAAAAAATTCATATAAACACCATTCAATAATCTCCAACAATAATTATAATAATGTGAAACATTCAAAAAAATTGTATGGTAATAGTCCACGTTATGGGAATTTTCGTATTACTTCATCTTATGTCAGAATTTCTTAATTCTTGTGGAGGGAAAAAATGAATTCACATGAAAGAAAAACGCAAAAAACCTTTCTTCTTGAATCAACAACAAAATTCAATTTCATTCTCTTTCATTAATAAAAATGAGATTTTTTTTTGAACAAAAAACTGTGTCAATTTAATTCACTGAATTTCACAGAATAATTCTATTCCAATTCCGAGTATTCGAAACATCATTATAGTGATCATTATCCATTATTATTGAATAATAAATCTGGCAGATAGAAATCCATTTACACATCCATATGATCCAACTTATACATAACGATTCAATTATTTCTTTGACACATCAATAGCTGTTAAAGCAACTTGAACTTTATTCATCATACATACACATTGTCACATATATAAACGACACATTTATACATGTAGTCAGTTGATTGTTTTCTTCTACACACACAACACTATGATCATCTCTTCTTTTTATATTTGTGTATCATTCATTTTGTATTTTCTTTCTTTATTTTGGTTCTTTTAAATTACAATAAATATAAATTAATTAATTTCAACAGGTTATGGGCCTCAGTTGCCTTCCAAGCTACGTATTCTTCTTTTAAAAATTGTGTTGATAATTAATTTTGTGCTGTTTCTTCTTTCCATGGTTATTTTTTTCAACAAGAATCGATCATGACGCAGTTGAACCCTAAAAATGTTCAATTCTTGAATTTGGATAAAGTACCATACCATCATTGGTATGAGTCAATAAAAGAATGTCTCATTGCCATGGAATGTGACCAGTTTATCGATCACAAATTCGACTATAAGCCGAAAAGTGGCTTAACCAAAGAACAGAAGATTGGTATAAACAGTAGCAAAAATTTAATCAAATCATCACTGAACTCTATGGACCGCGAAACAGTCATCAACTGTGAAACGCCATTAGAGATGATAAATAAATTGGAATACAAATATCGATCCTCACATACGCGAAACGTTTTTGATCTCTTTAGACAAAACCACAAGATCAAATTTAAAGGCGATATATCAAAATTATTCTCAGAGGTGAAAAGAAATTCGTTACAATTAGCCGAAAAGAACCTAAAACTACCAGATTCGTGCATTGTGGCAAAAATTATTGATGTCCTGCCCAATGAATACAAAGACATATGCAATCAAGTTGAATTGCTCAATATTAAAGATGAATCTAGCATTACAAGTGATGTCTTTGAATCTATGCTCCTCCGTCGTGAACGTGAGCTTAAAGATAATGAATCCGAATCTACTGGTGTCACCTTGGTAACAGCCAAAAACAGAAAGAAGTCCAATTTGAAATGCAATTTTTGTGGTCTTAATAATCACCTTGAAAAAGATTGTTACCGTAAAAATCCGTCGAAATCTAAAAATCAAAAACGATCGTTTTATCGACAATCTAATCAGCAAGCGAAGAAAAAGCATGATAAAAACAACGATGACGATGATAACAATTTAGATGTTGCCACTATCCTTGTGTTAGCTGCATCATTGGTTGCTACAAACAGTCAATCTCCAAAATTTTTGGCCGATACTGGAGCTAGCTATCACATTGTCAACGATAAAAGCTTATTGGTGAATCATCGACATGCAGAACGCATGATCAGAGGCCTCAAACATAGCACGAAAATCAACGTGATTGGCGATCTAAAATGTGAATTTTTCAACGGGACCATGTGGTCGTCTGGATTAATAACGCATGTGGCGTATGTCCCTGATCAACCATTCAATTTAATTTCGGTGGGTCAGCTTTGTCGAAAAGGAGCGAAAATCAACACCAACAAAGATGGCATGGTCATTAGTAGATTCGGCAAACCAATAATTGTGGCAAACTGGTCAAAAGACTATGAAAATTTGTTCGATCTACAAATTCGTGTTAAACAAAATGTTATAGCTTCTGCAGCCTCATCTATCGATTCAATGGCACTTTGGCATGAGCGATGCGCTCATTTTTCAACAAAGATGATCTCAAAAATGATGAATAACAAATTGGTCGATGGTGTTCCGAGTAATATTGGCAACAATATCTCATTTTGCGTCTCCTGTAAATCGGGTAAAATGACGGGAACCTCCCATCTTAAAAGTTCCATTCATCAATATTTGAAACCTAGCTTAAAGCTTCATCTTGATATTGGCGGATATACAACAAGATCCATTCACGGAAATATGTATTATCTAGTTGCAGTTGATGAATTTACAAATTACATCAAAATTGCTTTCATGAAAAATCGACAAGAAACCTTGGAAAAGTTTCGTAAAATAGTTAATGAAATCAAGCTTGACACTGGTAATGATGTCCTGAGCATTCGTACAGATCATGGCTCTGAATTTCTTAGCAAAGACTTTAAGTCGTTCATCAACAGTCGAGGTATCCTTCATGAATTAGCCACTGTCAAAACACCACAACAGAACGGGCGGGTGGAGCGGGCCATACGGAACATTGTTGATCATTCTATCTCCATGTTATCGTCATCAAATTTGCCATTATCCCTTTGGGATGAATCAACAAATTGTTCTGTTTACGTCATAAATCGTATGTTAAATTCAAGAAATGAAATTCCATTTGAGAAATATTTTGGTCGTCGTGTTGATCTTTCAAATCTCCGTATCTTCGGCTCATTAGGCTATGCCTTAATTAAAAACGATCGACATAAATATTCATCAAAGACCAAGAAAGTTTTTATGGTTGGTTATCATTCAAGTAACACTTATCGTGTTTATTGTCCAACCAATCGACGTATCGAATTTGCTTGTGACGTGAAATTTAATGAACAGGCTAAATGCCATATATCGACGAACAGCTCAAATATTGACAACAAAAATTTAAATTCAATTAATAACGATGATCAAAATTCATCATTTTCATCAAATGAATCAACCGATTTGAATCATCATGATCAAACTGTTACAAACCCCAACATCGTTATCGTCAACGGGGGAAGTGACATCGATTCTATCAACAACCCAACTGGGGGAAGTGACGAAAATGTTACCGATACCGATCTTGATGACAATGATTCCGAACATGTTGAAACAACCAATCGACGATCAGTTGGACGTCCTCTTGGATCATCAAATCGTAGATATGAAATTAATCCTGAACGAATAGATTCTTTGCGACCACGTTCAAATGAAAGTGAAGCTGTTGTGGCCATTGCTGGCAGTGAACCGAATACATTTGATGAAGCTGTAAGCAGTATTGATTCCGAAAAGTGGAAACTGGCCATGCAACATGAATTTAATCAATTAATTAAAAACAAAACGTGGGCTCTGGTTGAATCACCGTCTAATGTACGGGTGATATCAGTTAAATGGGTGTTTACAATCAAAGAAGACGGTCGGTATCGTGCGCGTCTGGTAGCAAGAGGTTTCGAACAGGATGATAAATCATCTTATGATTGTTACGCTCCAGTTGTTTGCATGGAAAGTGTTCGCTTGTTCTTCTCACTGGTTGCATCCATGCACATGTCATTGGTCCAATTCGATGTATCCTGCGCCTTCTTGAATGGCCAAATTACCGGAGACGTATATATTAAACAACCACCTGGTTACGATGATGATTCAGGCCGTGTCTGCAAATTATTTCGAGGTTTATACGGATTACGTGAAAGTCCCAGGAGCTGGAACTCCGTATTTGATCAAACCATACGTAAGTTTGGCTTTAATTCTACTAATCTCGATCCCTGTTTTTATTTCATGCGAGAAAATGCCGAATTCACAATAATGATCATTTACGTCGACGATGGCATAATTGCATCAACGAACAAGAAGAAACCGCTCGAAATTTTTGATAAATTGTCTAAAAGATTTGAAATCCGTAAAGTTGAATCATCTCGTTTCCTCGGTATTGAATATGAACGAAATTATCGAAATCGGACTATATATTTAAAACAAGAACAATATTTATTGGACAAGTTGAAAAATTTTGAAATGAATGAATCGAGACATTCTGATACACCGTTTGCCTGCGGTACGAATCCATATGACACCGAATCTCCAACCAACGAAGATTATCCATATAGACAGGCCGTCGGTGCTCTTCTATATTTGTCCTGTAAAACACGTCCAGATATTGCATATACCGTATCATTATTAGCAAGGTTTACGAACGCACCAAATGAAATTCATGTGAAGTCAATAAAACGTCTTTTTCGATATCTTAATGGCACACGTTCGGTTGGTATTTGCTTGGGCGGTGAAGTTCCAAAATCGATTGTGGGATATGCAGACGCTGATCTCGCTGGTGACAAAATTGGTGGAAAAACAACCACTGGACACATTGTTTATTTTGGAGGTCCAATCATTTGGAAGACTCATTTACAAAAATGTACTATTGATAATACTTGCGAGGCCGAATATATATCAGCATCGTTGTGTTCCAAGGACATGAAATATATCCGAAATCAATTGGTCGAAATTGGAATCGAAACAGACATTCCCATTTTAAATTGTGATAATCGTTCTACTGTCTACCAAATTTATGGTCAATCTATTACGCCAAAACTTCGTCATATTGCTATCAAATTTCATTCGATTCGTAACGATGTAATTGACAACAATCTAATCGTAAAATGGATTCCCACCGATCAACAGGTTGCGGACGTACTTACTAAATCTCTCCCTCCGGCTAAATTTATTCCTTTGGTACGTTTGCTGAATCTGGGGAAGTGTTAAAGCAATTTGAACTTTATTCATCATACATACACATTGTCACATATATAAACGACACATTTATACATGTAGTCAGTTGATTGTTTTCTTCTACACACACAACACTATGATCATCTCTTCTTTTTATATTTGTGTATCATTCATTTTGTATTTTCTTTCTTTATTTTGGTTCTTTTAAATTACAATAAATATAAATTAATTAATTTCAACAATAGCCAAATACGATTAGATAACTGGATGAAAAAATGGATTATTCATTTTGAATAATATCAACCGTTTAGCAATTCAACAATCGGTCGCTTGTGTAGCCACCTGTCGACTTGGAAAATAATGAAAACATATTCACATGGTTTCACTTTACAATTCTTCATTGAATTTCAAATTCGTTTTAGGAATTTTCATTTATGAATTTAATTTGCCGAAACCTTTCCATTGATGGTCGCCGGAACGAATGGTAAAATTATCAATCGAATACATGAAATTAATGATTTTAAAATCCGAAATAATTGCGAAAAACGTTCCGAATACGACACCTTCTCTATGAAGAGTTCACATAAATTTTTTCAATGTTGCTTGCTCATTGTTTACGCAACTCATTTCGCAAAACGTTTATGCCAGTGAAATTTTGATTTGATTCGATTCTAATTAAATCATTTTTATTTGATCAAATTGAAATTGAAATACATGTTAATCTTTTGTAAAAATGAATGTGGATTATAGGCCGAGCCAGGCCTATATCATACATTCAATTACGATTTCCATCATGTATGTACAACGTTTTTCGTTTTTTTTCACGAAACACCTATCTATATTGTTATGGTGATGAAAAATTGGAGGATTTTTTACGATATGTAACAATAGGTAAGCAAATTCTAACCATTTGATTATTGAATGACGCTGCAAATTATTCATTTTTCATTCATTTAGCGGAGCATCCAGCCAATCTAATGCTGAACACAAATTATATACATCCCTTTGCGGAATCTGTTGAAATGACAGTCCATTACCACGCCCACCAAAGTTATTCGATTTGCACATGGTTATTATTGAATGAATGTCGAACATCCAAATATAATGTTGGTGGCTTCACAAATAGAATGCCGTTTCGTGATAAGATACACGCCAGCATAATCAATACATTTTAGAGTATTTGCTGATCCTAAAATGACAACAACAAATCATAATTAATCCAATCACATGTATGACAAAATCATTTGATTTTGTTTGTGGTTTTATTCATTTTTTACGGCCCATATTTTGATTCAAATTTTTGGACCAGAAAATTGGGACAATATCCGCGATATGGTTCCACAACTTCCATTATATCCATTAGTTCAACAAGAATTGAATTCAATTGCTCGAAGAATTATTGTCGGTAAGTTGAATTGACATTCAAACTATGTACTTATATTTAATATGAACATTTTATTCCAGTGGAAGAAATACCGACCGCAATACAACATTGGTATCGATTGTATGGTAATAGTCCACGTTATATAACCTTTCGTATTACTTCATCTTATGTCAAAATTTCTTAATTCTTGTGGAGGGAAAAAATGAATTCACATGAAAGAAAAACGCAAAAAACCTTTCTTCTTGAATCAACAACAAAATTCAATTTCATTCTCTTTCATTAATAAAAATGAGATTTTTTTTTGAACAAAAAACTGTGTCAATTTAATTCACTGAATTTCACAGAATAATTCTATTCCAATTCCGTGTATTCGAAACATCATTATAGTGATCATTATCCATTATTATTGAATAATAAATCTGGCAGATAGAAATCCATTTACACATCCATATGATCCAACTTATACATAACAAATTCCACCATTTCTTTGGCATATCAATGACAAAATACGATTAGATAACTGGATGAAAAAATGGATTATTCATTTTGAATAATATCAACCGTTTAGCAATTCAACAATCGGTCGCTTGTGTAGCCACCTGTCGACTTGGAAAATAATGAAAACATATTCACATGGTTTCACTTTACAATTCTTAATTGAATTTCAAATTCGTTTTAGGAATTTTCATTTATGAATTTAATTTGCCAAAACCTGTCCATCGATAATCGCTAGAACAAATGGTAAAATTATCAATCGAATACATGAAATTAATGATTTTAAAATCCGAAATAATGGCGAAAAACGTTCCGAATACGATACGTTCTCTATGAAGAGTTCACATAATGGTAATACTTTCAATATTGCTTGCTCATTGTTTACGCTACTCATTTCTTAAACCGTTTATTTATAGCCAGTGAAATTTTGATTTGATTCGATTTTGTTGTATTAAATCATTTTTATCAAATTGAAATTGAAATATTTGTTAATCTTTGGTGAAAAAAAATGAATGCACACCCTCTCAGTTTTTTTTTTGTTTTTGAGGCCGAGCCAGGCCCAATTAATTTGGTCATCCCTCGTCACCTTAATCGATTCTTCGATTTGTATTTTGAAATGACGATTTTTTCTAACCCGCCCCCATCCGGGTGGTGGGGTATTCAAATACCTGAAAACTATTTTTATTCTGGTAAGAAAATATGATTTTAATAATTCAGATAAAATGGGTAATTTTCTTTTTTGACTCTAGTACCATTTCGAGATCGTCGAATTCTTCAAAACATTCGATTTTATGTACGACGTGGAATGGCATATACTTTGGGTGGTGAAGAATTGAACAATTTTCTACGATATGTGACGATCGGTAAGCAAATTCTAACGATTTGATTATTGAATGACGCTACAAATTATTCATTTGTCATTCATTTAGCTGAGCATCCAGCAGATCTAGTGGTGAACACAGACCACGAACATCCCATTGCGACATTTGTGGAAATGACCGTTACCACACCCACCAGAAACTATCCGATTTTCAATGGCTATAACCTAAATGTCGAACATCCGAACAATGTAACGGTTTCACAAATAGAATGCCGGTTCGTGATCAGATACACTCCAACAGAAATAAATTTTCAAGTATTTGATCCTGATGAGGAACTTGATCATGGCGATAATATATAGTGATAATAATATTTTAATATCATACTCGTCTTCGACGTTATCGCATTCGTGGATGAGGATGACGATGATAAAATTTTTCATTCACAAATAAGAAAATGTTTCACATAATTTCATTTGAATATACGAACTCTGACAATTTGATTTGAAGTTTTGAATTCATAACATTGTATATAAATACGTTACTCATTATACTCATAATAATACGAAAAACGGCAAACCATTGACATTTTCAACAAGTTTAAACATTATTGATTACTTTCTATATTTTGATATATATAAATAAATATTCAATGAAAAAATTTTGTATGAAATAAAAATTTTTCATTCATCGATGTAAATGATGCAAATGATGGTTATACAAAAATACAACCGAGACAAAAAAAAAATGGAGAGAGAATGTGAATATGAATAAAATGAATTGAAATGAAACGAAACCAAAATCGAATGATTCAAAGATCACATTTAATAATTAATATATTTGAATATTCGAATGAATGAAATAAAATTATTTTAGCATATATATTCTTTCTATAGAAATAAAATGATCATCATTATCTCATTATTATTATTATTGATCACCATGGATTTCAACTTTGATTTTTTTTTTCAATGTTCATTTCTGGTAAAATACAGATATCAATGCTTCTATATCATGTGTGTATGCGTGAGTGTGTGGTTTCTATCTATTTGATGTATTTTTATACATGGATGTGTAGACCAACAACAACAACAACAATAATAATAGTAAATGATTCATCATTCCATTTCAAACACTAGATTAATCAATGAATACGAGGCAAAAAATTTTTTTTTTTTTTTTTAAGACCACCCAGATTTTAGATATTAAAACGAATTGGTGTGCGTCGTGTATCTATCTCTCATCGGAAACAAATGGTTGTTGTTGAAAACAAATAAAAAAACATCAGCAATAATAACATTCATTTAAATCATCCAAATCAAAATTTGAAAAAAATGGTTTACATATTCTATGTCAAAACAGATTCACGTGGAACTGCTGAATTTAAATTACGATGGCGTATTGTTCAAGATATTGATATTATCATTGAAATCGATATTGCTGGACCACCACCAGCATCAAATTTATGGAAGATACAGATACCAAGACGTTTTCTTTTACAAGGTATTTACCAATAGTCACCAATATATATAAATCATAATAATCATTATTCTGTTCTTAGTTCCACGAAATTGGCGAGACATTCTTTTCACTTTAGAAAGCATGACATATCGTTCTATTCATGGTGATCAATATACAGAAATGGAATCCTCAATTATCATTGGTAAGTTTTGTGTTTTTTTTTCATCACATCAATATGAATTCATTCAACACATTGAATCCTATATTTGGAATTAAAGAAGAAGAGGTCCGAGAAAATATGCGTGAATATTATGCAAGTCATGAATTTGAACCACGTCGACCATGGTCATCGGTGATAAGAGCAGCCTATGCACGGAAACACTTTGTCTGGGATTAGAAAAACAAAATCAATTCATTTCATTTGGTTTAATCATCAATCAATTATACTTTATACTTTACCAGTTTAAATACCAAAAAAAAAATAATAATGAAGATAATGATAATCTAAATTTTCAATATTCAATTACAATATATTTTTCGAAAACAAAACAAAAAAAATGCAGATCCTTGATTCAATCAATTTCTTTAAAATCGTTTGTAATTTTTCTGTTTTTAAAATAAAAAAAAAATGATGATAATTTGCAAAACAAAACAATTTTAACGTACTTCATGAATGGATACAATGTCTATATAATGAAAAAAATCCGTTTTCATCATCTCAGTTTTCGATTTGACTCAATTCAAAGCTTAAATTGGTCATTATTTGCAAAAGTTTTTGAAATAAATCTAAACCATATTCATATATTGTCTTTTAATCCAACTTTTTTTTTTTTTTGGTACAAAAAAATGTCTTTTCACGTTTTCAATGTTCCAATGTATCGAAATAAGAGTTCAAGTAAATTTCGATGGAAAATTGGTCACGGAAGTGATGAACTTGTTGTCATGATCGACATTTATGGCAAACTACGAAATAATACAATGTGGATAGTCAAATTTCCAAAAGAAATGTCCGCTAAATGTATGTAATTGATTCCAAATTCTGAACTGAACTAATGAATACATTTTTTTTCTTCTTTTTTTAAAAAAAAGATCCGACAAATACGGAATTTATTTATCGTGATTTACAGCGAACTGGTTACAGTCCAATCGTTGAAGAAAAATTGCAAGAACTTCGAAATCAAATTCAGATCGGTAAGTTGATTTTTTTTTATTCTTTGATAAAAATAAAAATCGTTCATATTTTTTTTCCAGTATCCGAACGAGATGGCGTACCAGCAAATCGATGGGATTTGACAGCCTATTATGGAAAACCTGGATTCGAATTCGAAGAGTAAACAGAAAAAAAAATCTATGAAAAATTCCTGATAAAATGTTCATTTTGAATTTTGATTCATTTTCTTTTTTTATTTCGAAACAAAAGAAAAGCCATAATACAAATCTATTATCGATTTACATCCAATGAGTGCATAAATTATACAGACAACACAACAAATGAGTACATACACAATTTTTGATTTCTTTTAAATTACCTTAAATTTTTTGAATTTTATTCCTGTTTTTCTGCTACCTGTGTTCATTCATTTAAATTTTTCATAATTTATTTCCAAATAAAATGAAACATAAAAACATTTCAAAAACAATCCGATAGATTGCGTTACCGTCTACACATGTATGTGAAAAATAATGAAAAAAAAAATACCGAATGTGAAAATATGTCAAAACAAAAACTTTTCAAATTATTTATTATATATATATTCTGATTGAATTCAAATTAAAAATGGACAGAGAAAAAGTTTAAAAATTTTGTCATCATTCATTCATTCACACAGACATAAATAAACGATCATATTCAATTCCTGATTACTATTCCTAAAAAAAAAAATGATAATGAAGGAAAAAAAAGTTTCAATACCAACCATTAGATGATGATAATCGTTGATGAATGAAGAATAAAAATTTCAGACAATCATGCTGATTATTTTTTTTTTATTGGTGAGTATTACCGGTCCCGGTTATTTTATGTTCAAGTATGTTGATTTAGTTGTTGTTGTTGTTGTTGTTTGGTGACGATGATTTATATCTATTTATATATATATATATTCACAAACCAAAACATACATTTTATTATTAGAATAAAACACAATCATCACATACACACACACTGAAATGATGAAAAACACAAATGATTTTCATTTTAAAAAATCATCATTACATCAGATAAAACCACAAACATGAACATATATACATCACTAATTATTATGATGAATAATAATATTCATTCATTCATCATCATTATTTAAAATGGTCACACATAAATTGGTGATAATGAAGACATCATTTTTTGAATTAAAATGTCAAAATTTAACCACAAAAATATTCAGATTGTTTTCACAGATTTCTATGGATGATGATGATGATGATGATGATTTACGTAGGTGGAGAAAGAGAATGAAAGAATTAATCTATCGGATCGATTGAGAATATTTGCTGCCAATTTTTTTTTTTTTTTTTTTGAACAAAAGAATAGAATCCAATAATGTTTGTTGATGATGATGAGTGTTTGGCTTTTGATGACGATGATGATGATGGTGATGATGAGTATTGAGAATATATATGTTATATGTATGAGATCCAAAAATAGAACCGAATGAATCGTAGAATGAATAAATACAACGCCCTTTTTTTGTTAGACAAAAATTCTATATTCCTTTTGCTTCTATTTACGGGCGGCTTAGATGGTAGGTTAATTTGAATTTGAATTGAATTTATGTTGAAAAAAATTAAAAACATGAATGAAAAAAAAATTATTAATCTCTATATATGTTCAAATAATGAACAATTTCATCATGCTACATTTCTTTGCTGAACAATCAATGAAAAATATGTTTACGTGGCATCAACACATTGATGATTCGAGTTGGCAACACAATGATGATCATGAATGATGAAATTGATGCAACAAACAAATTCATAGGCAAAAAAAAACAAAAATCAATGTTACTATTTTCACATTGATTCATTAATGAATGATGATGATTAATATATATGAAAATAAATTTCAATCATCATTTTTTTTCTTTCAATTTTAAATTTTGTTGATGATTGATGATGAATAATGATGATGATCATTAGAAAATTATATCAAATTTTTGACATTGTTGAACAAATTAAATTACATCGTTGTTGTTGTTGTTGTTGTTGTTGTTGTCGTTGTTGTTGTTGTTGTTCAGTGTTGCATGTTGGCCACAATTTTTTTTTTCATTTTCATTTTACAAATGTACAATATTGAATGCTATAAATTTTATATAAAATAAAAACAAAAACAAAAAAAAAATTCACCATTAGTTACGAGAAAATAAATTCTGTTGGAGAAAAAAAAAATTTTCTTTAAAAATTATAATTGCTCCAAAAAGAAAATAAACAAAACAAAAAAAAAAAAAATTTTGAGCATGAAATTGTGGAAAAATTTTTTGACTTTATTTTCTTATACGTTCAATTCTTGTTCTTGTGGTGTTGTCCACATACACACACACACACACAAAATCAACAAGTTTGTGAGAAGAAAAAAAAAATACTTGTTTCTTCTTCTGTTGTCTGAACTCAACAACCAAATGATCATCACCATATATACAATTATATTATTATATACGTAGTATTTTCTATCACTATCACAGAAAAAAATAAGACAGTAAACAAAAAGAGAAAGAGAAAAAAAAATAATGATGTGATGCTATCATCATCATCATCAAAAAAAAAAAAAAAAAGAGAGAGAGAGTGACTGGCAATAAAAAAAAATGAAAAAATAAATTGCAGATACTTATTTCTGATTGTGTGTAGTGGCGGCGGCGGCGGCGTCAATGGCAAGCAACGGAAAAACTAGAACTAAAAACGACAAAATACCAAATCAAATCAAATAACAAAGTGGTGAATAAAAAAAAACGACAAAAAAAAAACTCATTGCCCATTTTTATTTTTCATTATTAAGTCAATATTTTATTATTCTATTCTTTTACACACACACACACACAAAAAAATGTAATTGTTTACTCATACACACACACACACACACACACAAACAAACAAACAAACAAACAAAAAATCAATCACAAAATGTGAAAGCAATCAATCAATCAATCGATATAATAAGTGTTTTTGTGTTTGTTTGTGACCACGTTTTTAAGACATTGTCATAGTAATAGCAGTAGTAGTAGTAGTAGTATAATTTATAAAACTCATCATCATCATCATCATCGTCATCTTTATTGTACTAATATCACATCATATCAATCATCAACCTAATTAAAAAATTTAAAAAAAAAATTTTCCATAGCGCCACCATACACCATACACCATATTGCTATTGATTAAATATAAATGCTGCTACTCTACCAACAAAAAATTTTCTAATTTTGAAAATCATAAAACAATATAAATAATAATAAAATAAATATATAACAAGAACAACGAAAAATAGATTAAAGCAAATGACGATGATGATGATATTAAAAAAAAACCTGTATCTGTTTTTTTTTCAAGGATGTTCAAAAGTAAAAAAAAAAAAATGAAAATTTCAAATCGAATAAAATTCGTTCATTTGCTTCTCTACTAATACTACTACCTGCGTATTGTGGATGGATGTGTGTAAATAATAATAATAATTATTATTTTTGTTTAATATTTCGGATGAGGATTCACTATTCATTTTTTTTTTTTTTTGGCTGCTGTTTCTCAATAATTATCATTCTCATTCAATCTTTACAACTACCACATACCACTATATGAAAAAATTGTAATGGCTCGATGACTATGATGAATTATTATTCTACCATCATCATCATCATCATCATCATGGCTGTTGATTGTTGTTGATGGTGGCGATGATGATGATGATGATGATTTTACAAACACCATTTTTTTTTGATGTGATACAGTGATAATCGTTTATTTTTATGATATCACACACACACACACACATACATACAACACTAGAAAAATTTCATTTGAATCATTTTTTTGGCTTTGATTTTCATTTGAATTTGTTTGCAACAAATGATGATGGAATAAATGAAGACAAAAATGAAATAGACACAAACACACGGTTGTCTGTTTATTCAGTTATGGCCAATGGTCAAAAAAATGTGTTCGATAATCGTATTATCGTTTAGAATAGTGGAGAAAAAAAAATTGTTCAGTGGTCATGTTGATTTTCAAGAACAATTATCAGCAATAATAGGCCCTCTGTAATGTAACACACTTATACTAATGGGGATCGAAAAAGTTGTCATTTTTTTTTCGTAGTGTGGTAGCAAGAATTGTAAATTTTGTATTTTTTTTTTTTTTTACCAAAAAGGATAAAATACTCACCACATACGATGAATCATATAATAATAAATAAATTTTACCTGAAAAGGTAAAAAAAGGATAGCGTGCAAAAAAAAACTGATATCATAAAGATTCCAAAATGAGACTCGATCGAAACACACAAATACACTGCTCAAACTAATAGCTAAAAGCTATTTAAGTAAAGTAAAATAAAACAATTTATCCATTAACAGTAGCAAGCAGAAGTAGTAGAGAAAGAGAATTTTTTTTTTTTTTTTTTGAAAATGGAACCAAATGGTCCACGGGTAAAAAAAACAACAACAACAAACAATAGAATGGGTGGGTCATAGCCATGAAATAGTGTATGGTTTGTTGGTTGATCGGTTTTGTTTAGTTTTTAGATCGACCAAAGTAGAGGAAATTGAACATTTCTTTTTCTTTTTTTTGTTATTCAAAGCTTCAATTGCTAGGATTTGGATAGTAGGCTTGTTGTGTTCGTCGATCATCATCATTCACCATCATAGGTCGTCATATATCGTTCTAGCTTGGATTTTGGTTCAGGTCCAGGTCAAGGCCTGGTATAGAATTGTATATATTAATTTGAAAATACAGTAAATTTTCCACAATAATCTAAGCGTTAAAAATCATTATAATATTGATGATGATGATGACCTTTACCTTAATATATTTCTAAGAAAAATATAAAAGCATGAAGGGCTTGAATGAAATAAATAAAATTACATCGTAAAGATCAAAGGAAATATAAAATGCAAACATACACAAACTAGCTAACTTATGACAACAAAAACCATGAACATTCAATGTATTCGATTTATTCCATTTCGAACAACAACAACAACAACAACAACAACAATAAATAACCATATACGAATAGTCAAAACATATGGCAGCCATTTTGGTAGTGGCCATGATAATCACCAAGACCATCATTATTGACGAGTTGTTTTGTTTCCAGTTGAATTTCAAGTTTTTCGTGCAACCATTTTTGAAATTATATATATTGTTTATTTATTACTTATTACCAGAACAGATCTTTTTCACAGATTGACCATTGATGACCACGAATCAAGTGAAAACACAACACACCATCGATCAGTGATCAATGATCAATTTAGAGAAAAAAAAAACAATTTGAAAATAAAATCAATAACAAAAATTACCATTCGATTCTGTTGTTATAATACCATTATTATCCAAAAGCCAAAGAAAATTAGATTGTGAATATATTACGGTCTAACTTTGAATGGTCATCATCATATATTGTTTATGTGATTTCTTACCTGACCAAAAAAAAAATTGGTTATTTTGATACAATTTTTGTTTATATTTCGGGAATTTTTCCCATTTATTGTTTCAATTAATGAATTTTGTTTTGAATAAAAAAAATTGATTTTGATTTATTCATACAAAATTGATTTTGAGTAAAAAAATTTTTTTTTAAAGATTTCTACAAATAAAAAACATCAATTGTGTGTGTGTGTGTGTGTTTTTCAGGGGTTTTTTTTGCAAATCATAAATTGTTCATGATTATGAATTATTTATTTAAACTCAGAAAACTTGTTTTATTCTGTTTTTTTTTCTTTTTGATTGTCAGGAATTGTCACACCACACCACACCACAAAACAAATACATACCCAATGATAGAATTCACTTGATTCACGGGAGCACGCCAAAAAAAAAAAAAAACACTGAAAAAATAACATCACAGAATGAAGCGATGATGATGATGATGGTGATTTTGATCTATTTGAAATTGCAATCAAATTATCATCGTCGATGTTGACAATTTTGTTATTATTATTGTCATTTTGTTACATTTTTTTATTTTTCCATTTATGATTATTGCCAAATGATGAAAACTGATATATAATTGATGAACAAAATCCAAATGATGTTGATGTTGATGTTTCATATATTGTCAAATAAACAATGAAAAAAAGGACTAAAACATTGTTTTCAAATTATCATTATGATAATGTGATAACAACACATTGAAATGTAAAAGAATATAACGTACAAAACAACAACAACAACAAATCCAAACGGGAAATGAATTGAATTTTCTTCATCTGTTGTTGTTGTTGTTGTTGTTCACATAATCGTATGATGATGATCATCATCAAATATTTTTTTTTCGCATTCTGAAATAAAATGCTGTTAGAACAAAAAAAAAAAAAAATTCAGGGAATATTGCTCGATTATTTGGTTTGCTGTTTCAATAAAAACTTCTGACAGTAACAATATACCCCCACAATTCCTATTCCATTCTATTCTTCTTCTTCTTCTACTTTTTTTTTGCTATATAGAAACCTATTCAGTAGCCATAGTACAATACAAAGAGATTTCCGATGGTTTGGGCGTTATGGTTGAATTCATGTTGTTCTTGTCTTCTCTATCTATGTGTGTTCATCGTCGTTGTTGATTTTTTTTTTTTTTTTTGATGCATTTGCGTACAAAGCTACAAAAAAAAAATTTGTATTCATGTGTGTGGTACATAATATAATAATAATAATAACATTTAAGATTAGAATGGAAAAGGAAAACATCATATACAGGGCGGGTTCTTTCATTTATGTTTCGTGTGTTTGTGTGTTGCTGTTGATATTTGTCTGGTTGTCTCTCTCTCTCTGTGAACAAAATTAATTTATATTTACAGTGGTTTTCAAACTATTCATGTATGTATGACCGGTAAAAGATGAATTTCATAGAAGTTGTCATTTTGTTGTTCATTATCGGACCAAAAGCTCAATGTTTGATGATCACTGTGTTCGATTGACATGTCAAATGTTTTTTTTTTCATCTCTTCAGGACAACTAGGATCACATAGATTGTATATATATGTGTGTGTGTGTGAATAATAATACGTAGTAAAATAATATATCCACATACCCAAAAGAAAAGCAGATGGAAGTTATAATCCCAATCAAGTAGACATAGACATGATGATGATGAAAAAAATATATCAAAAAGTCATGGTGGTGGTGGTGGTGTTAGTGTTAGTGAGAAATAAAAAGATCCATGGAAGTAGCATTTTTGAAAAAAAAACAGTATAAAATAGGAAGGTGGTATGAATGCTAAAAAAATGATGATTCAATAAAAAAAGGCTCCCTCTATCACAAGCAGGCAATTCATGTGTGTGTGTGGCGCCTGTAATTTCTTTACGCCGTCGTGGTCATTATCATGATCCATCATCACCATTGTTGTCGGTTTAATTGTTAGAATCCATGTTATTTGTACAATGCTCGTTTTTTTTGTTGTTGTTGTTACGTTTTGAATAGGTTACGTGAGTTTTGATCGTTTTGTTTGAAAAGCCAAAATAAAAAAAAACAAATGTATGAGATGGGTGTTTGAAAGGATTAAAACCTAATTTTATATAAATGGGATGAAAAAAAATTAAAAAAAAAAAAACTTTTTTTTGAAATTCAAATTTTTCAAACTTTGTTTCTAGTTAATTTCAAAAACAAATGAAACATTCAGATTCATGCGGGGGTGGTAATAATTCTTGATGCTGTCATTTTATTTTTCATACAACAAAAAAAATGAAACAGATTAAAAAAAAACATTGATAATATTCGGCATTCATTTTTTTCCCATTCATTCCATCCATCCATCCATCCATCCATCCATTCGACAAAATTAATCAATCAATCAATCAATATATAGGATGTAGGTGTAAATGTGTGATGATAATAATCTATTCTATATATTAAATTATTTTTTGAGAAGAAAAAAAAAAACATAATCCAACAACAATATGTGTGTGTGTGGCATAGAAAAAAAAATAAATTGTATCAAAATCAAAATATGCAAATGAGCAATCGAACGATAATTGGCAATCGAGAATGATGATACACTAATACCTCGCTATACGGCCGCTCTTTATACGGCATTTCGCTATAACGGCTCTCTTCAATTAAGGCACGTTTTCGATTTACGGCCTAAAATGTTTTGCTATAACGGCATTTAACATATAAAATTTTTTTTTTCGAAATAGCTACATGTTGCCAATCTCATTCAAAATCGAGAAAATGACAAGTCCAACCTAACACGACCAGTTCAGAATCGAGAAAATAACAAATCCAACCTAACACGACCAGTTTAGAATCGAGAAAATGGCAAGTCCAAACTAACACAATCAGTTCAGAATTCAAAATACAGAATCGAGAAAATAACAAATTCAACCTAACACGACCAGTTCAGAATCGAGAAAATAACAAGTCCAAACGAACACAATCAGTTCAGAATTCAAAATACAGAATCGAGAAAATAAAAATCCAACCTAACACGACCAGTTCAGATGGTTACTTATTGGAATTAGTCACCAAAATTGGTTGGTTTCTATACCGTTTTTTAGATTTATTAAAAATCATTTTCAATGATGAATTGTGTTTTCCAAGATTCAGAGTTAAATAATGTTTGTTACATTATTATTAATGTTCGTTAATTAATTCGATGTGTATCGGATGTTCTGCCATTGAAGATGAAAATATTTATTTTCAGAATATGTTGTTGTAATTTTCCACACAATGAATAACATTAACAAATGATCATCAAAAAAAATTTTATCTGATTCGAAAAAATGTTGTAAAAGCCGATAATAATTTAAATTCAGTTGGATTTGTCATTTTCTCGATTGTGAACTGGTCGTGTTAGGTTTGATTTGCCATTTTCTCAATTTTGAATTATAAACTGGTCGTGTTAGTTTGGACTTGTTATTTTCTGGATTTTGAATTTTGAATTCTGAATTGATTGTGTTAGTTTGGATTTGTTATTTTCTCGATTCTGAACTGGTCGTGTTAGTTTGGACTTGTCATTTTCTCGATGTAAAAATGGCACAGAATAAACCATAATTTTTTTTCTAGATCTTAGAACAAGATTTTCAAAACAAATGCAAAATTGATGTTAAGTATGATTGCAATGCACATTATGGTGTCCATACATTTTTGCTAATCTCAGGGATTTATTAATCCGCTAGATGGGATTACAGTCGAGAGGAGGAAAATTTTCCCTACTTAAACTTTGACACCCCACTTCTACTCTCGAAAATGGTAGCCGGAAGTTGAAACTCAGATTGTTCAAAGAACAACTCTTTCACTATGCACTGGTAAAATATTTTCGCTTAAATCCTACAAAAAACATGGTTTTAGAAGCTTAGAAAAAACTCTCTCTCCCATAGGTAAAGCTCAGCCCCGCAGGAAGGAGGCGCGAAGCGCCTGTTCCGAGCTTGTATTTAACAAATTTGGAACCGATCCCATTGAATTTATATGAATTTGTATTAGAATAATTGATTCCTTATACGGCTTTTCGCTTTGCGGCCAAGTTTCGTGGAACGTAACTAGGCCGTATATCGAGGTATTAGTGTATATGAACGAATGAATGTTTTGCTGCTAGCTCGCTCACACACACAAAAAAGTAGTGGTTTTATGAATCGATACTGCTATCCACACACACACACACAATGTGTTGTTCACCCCTATGAATTGAATGTCGAAATGGAATATTCCAAAGAATTTTTTTTTCGGCAGGGAGGATTTTAAAAAGTGGCTGGGCAAGCATTTGGCCAGGGAGGGAGAGAGAGAGACATCGGTTTTTTTGAAAAAAAATTTACCCATTTATTTTCAATTCATTTGTCGAAAAATTTAATGGATTTAGATTTGGTATTTGGTCCCATTCGCATAATGTTGTCCTTGGAGCTACAGTGTGAGGTGTATATAGTGAAATAAACAAAGCTGCCGCTATTTTCACATTGAATGATCCAATTTTTGTTTGTTTTTTTTTTACAAACACGCAACAAACTGAATCATTTGGGGACAAATTATTTGGCTCGATTTTTTTATTCATTTTTTTTGTTGTTGTTGTTATTGGGAATTTATCGATGAAATAAACAACAATAAAAATAATAAAAAAGAATGTCATTCATAACAAAATCGATATTGATCACAAATATTGGCCAAAAACAACGCTGGTCGACTACTGCTTCAATAATTCGAACATTTAGTTCACATTCACAAAATGATTTATATCGATCATTAATATTTGAAAAAGCATTTATTGATGGAAAATTTTGTCAATCAGAAAATGGTGAAAAATTCAAAGTTTTCAATCCATCTAATGGTAAACTTATTGGAAATGTGGCTGATTGTACGGTGAATGATGTAAAACGTGCTGTTCAAGTGGCTAAAAAATCATTCAATGATCATTGGTCACAAACATTGGCTAAAGATCGTGCACAATTATTAAAACGTTTATTTACATTACAATTGGATAATGCTGAACCATTAGCACAATTAATAACAGCCGAAATGGGTAAACCATTACGTGAATCACGTGGTGAAATAATGTATGGTGCTAGTTTTTTGGAATGGTTTGCTGAACAAGCACGTCGTATTCATGGTGAAATCTTACAAAGTCCATGGCCAGATAAACGTATTAGTTATCGAAAAGAACCATCAGGAGTTGTTGCCATTATAACGCCGGTAGTATTTTTTTTTTTAATTTAAATTTAAATTTCATAATCTGAAAAACAATTAATAATTTCATTTTTGTTTTATTTTTCAGTGGAATTTTCCAAACGCTATGGTTACAAGAAAATTGGCCGCAGCATTAGCAGCTGGTTGTACGGTTGTTATTAAACCGCCTGAAGATACACCATTCTCTGTACTTGCATTAGCAGCATTATCGATAAAAGCCGGATTTCCACCAGGTGTTATCAATATTGTTCCAGTTTCTCGCCAGAATACTCAGAATATCGGTTCATACATATGTAATAATTCAGATATATCAGTCATATCATTTACTGGTTCAACATCAGTTGGTAAATGGTTGATAAAGAATAGTGCTAATACTGTTAAACGTGTTTGTTTGGAATTGGGTGGTGATGCTCCATTCATTGTTTTTGATTCAGCAAATATCGATAAAGCTGTACAAGGATGTATTGTTTCGAAATTTCGTAATGCCGGACAAACATGTGTATGTGCCAATCGTATATTCGTTCAAGATGGCATTCATGATCAATTTGTCAATGCATTAGCTGAACAAATGCAAAAAGAATTAATTATTGGTGATGGATTCGATGATCATACGACCATTGGACCATTAATCAATGAAAAAGCTGTAGAGAAAGTTATTAGCCACGTTGAAGATGCACAAAATAAAGGTGCCAAAATATTGATCGGTGGTCGAAAACATGAAAAAGGTGGATATTTTTTCCAACCAACATTAATGACCAATGCTAAATCGGACATGTTGATTGCACATGAAGAAACATTCGGTCCAGTTGCAGCTGTTTTCAGGTTTGAATTCTGTGATTCTTACATTTGATTCCATAATCATTTATTCATTTAATTTTATAGATTTAAAACCGAAGATGAAGTCATACGAATTGCAAATGATTGTCGTCGTGGTTTAGCCGGTTATTTTTATTCCCAAGATTATGCACAAATTGAAAGAGTTACTAGACGTTTAGAAGTTGGTATGATTGGCATTAATGACGGCATACTATCTTGTTGTGAAGCACCATTCGGTGGTGTTAAAGAATCTGGTCTTGGTCGTGAAGGTTCACATTTTGGTGTCGATGAATTTCTTGACGTTAAATATGTTTGCCACGGTGGATTTTGAACAGAACAGAATCAAATCATCAACCCATCAGTCTATCACATATCATTATTATTGTCTAGTTGTTTAAATCAATGTGTTTTTTAAAAGTTTTTGTTTTCTTTTTTCCTTTGCTATATTCCAATTGATGTTTTTCTTTGTGATTTTAGAATAAAATTCTATTCCGTTTTCTATGAATGGACCACTAATGCTCACGTGATTTTTCTAATTCTGTGTTTGTTGTGATTGACAACACACAACACGTACTACAGGTTGTTGTTTATTATTTTGATTTTTTTTTTTTTTTGATTAGGTGGCAAATGTTTTTTTATTGATAATTTTTGTTTTATTTGCTCGTGCAATCGTTATTTTTCATTATATCGATATCGCATATATTCAAATCAATTATTATGTTACAAAGTATTGAAAAAACATTCGATTCAGCATTTTTCAATGCAAATCATAGCCTTGGATTTATTCAACAATTTATATCACAAATCAATGATGGAATTCTTGCTGAAAATCTTGGTGAACAATTGGAACATTTAATACAGAATGTTGTCGAACAATTATCAGTATTGGCATTTTGTTTTGCACAAATTATGTGTAAAACAATTTTATTCTCAGAAAATTGTTTTATTATCAAAGTAAGTGTTTCAAGTCGTTTTATATTTGATTTTAAGATTTCGCCTTACAAATATAGGAACGTCTATCACGATTACAAATGGAAAATTTCCATCTAAAATCCGATAAATCATTTATGGATTTTTTTCGTAAAATTATTCCAAATTTACCTATAGAAAATCGACGATCCGATAGTCGATCACAAAATCCATCCAATCGATCAAAACGAACGAAACGAAAATCTAAATCAAAACCAATCACCGATCACGGTCGAAAATCAGTATCATCAAAAAAAATCAATTCTAATGTAATCGTAGGAGATAATTTTGAAAATAATCTAATCTATAATTTGTCCCAAAATGATCGACTAAACATTCGATTCAATCATCGTCATTATTATGAAACCGATGCATTTCGTATGGTTTATAGAAATTTCAAAGAAACTGAATTAATATCTAATTTACGATCAGAGAATCTTGATCGACAACGTGAAATTATTATGCTTGAAACGGAATTGGCAACACATCGTCTTATGGTACGATATCTAAATAATCAATTATCCGGTCGTATACAACAGATACAATTACTAACGCGTGATCGAAAAGATTCAAATTTTGATCAAGTATGGTCAGATCTAGAATCGGAAATATCGTTGAATAAATTTAAAACCATTTCAAATGCTCTCAATACTAGTAGCGTTGAACATGGAATTCTTATGAATCTGTTTCGAATGCAAAATAATACATCAACGTCAACAGATGACCATGATGCTGATGATGATGATCAAACTGTTGTTGAACCAAATGAAACCGAAAAGCAATCCATTGATCAGATTGATGAAATCGTAAATGATGACAATGACGATGATAATGATCGAATTATGGAAAATGAAAAATCAATGATTGAATGTAAAAATTTTCAAAAATCCTGGTATAATATTGGCCAATTTCGATTCATTATAATCGATTTGAATGATGAGGCATTAGGTATCAGTATAACTGGTGGCAAAGAATATGGTTTACCCATTTTTATATCGAAAATTCATCCCAATACACCGGCACAACGATCATTATCATTCATTACTGGTGATATAATTTTAAGTGTCAATTTTATCGATTTTACTGATCTTACACATGATGAAGCTGTTGATTTACTTAAAAATTTGGTATTGTATTTTTTTCATGTTTGTTGAATGATTTCATTTTTTTTTTAATTTTTGTTTCACAGTCTGGCCATTGTAGATTTGGTGTTGTTTATCTGAAAATTGACGGAAAAAAAGGATCAATCATGAAAAAATTTTCCAATGATCAACAATATGACAATCAACAGAAACAATCATTTGTTGATTATTATCGTTCCATATTCAATGCAACTGTTATGTCACCATTTCAATTAAGTTCATCATCATCATCATCCGATGACAATGATGATTATCCACAAATATCATCCATATGCGATCGACAAACCGATGATGATGATTGTGATTCTGATTATAAACCATTGCAAGATATTGAAATTCCACAAAAACAACAACAATCGGTTGAAATTGGAAATCAAACTGGAAAAAATGCTATACCAGGAATGGCAAAATTAGTTCAAATTATTAATGATTAAAATTCATATCAAATCAAATTTTATTTCATTTTCATTGACAAAAACTTTGATGAATCATTTTTTTTTCTTTGGCACACATGCACACACACATACACACACACACATAGACATGGACACCATATTATCATCGACCGACAAAAAAAAAGTAATAAAAACATATAGAAATTCAATTTTCAAATGACTGAAAAACAATGAATCAATGTTTTATCATCATAATAATTTCTGTTTGTTTGATTCAATTGTTTGATTTTCGTAGCGATTAAAATAAATTTTGATTGCTCTTTTAAATTTTCTTCGTGTTTGTTCATCAACATTCATTGTTGATAATGAATCCATCAATGATGATGATGATGATGATGATGATGGTGATGCAGAATTTAAATTAGATTCCATGTTGTGGTTGTTGTGGTTGTTGTTGTTGTTGTTGTTGTTGTTATTGTTTGGAATATTTGGAATATCATCATCATCATCATTATCATTATCATTGTTGATGTTGCTGCCACTGTTGCTGCTACTACTACTACTACTACTACTACTACCGCCATTATTGATCTCAACAATATTTGTTAGATTTTTTCCATGTCCAATTTGATGATGATGTGCCAATGGATGTGGATGATCAATATGATCATAATGATCATCAAAACCAGATACATTATTTTGCACCAATGACGGTGTATCACGTGTTGCCATTGATGATTGTATCAATGTTGATGGTGTTTCGGAACGAAAATGAGATGGTTTACTTTCAATATTATAGCATAGATTATCAATCTCTTGACGGCTTATGAAACAATCATTTTTGCATTGATTTTGTGTCAATGATTTTGGACTATCCAAATCCAATTCATTAACACTAATTTTACTACGTTCCGATAATATTGATTTAATTGTGTGCAGTTCTTTTTTCATGATATCCAATAATTGATGACCAACTGTTTCGATTGTTTTACGTCCAATCTGATTCAAACTTTTATAGATTTGTTCAAATTTTTGATTCATTTGTATACTTTGTTCTTGTACTTTTCTGCTAACCATTGTTGAATGATTACGTAATTCACTTACAGAAATTGTCAATATTTTATATGCTTGTTCATCTTGTCTCATCATGTATTGTGATTGAGTGTTAAGAATTACGGCAACTGAATTATTGATTGCTGTTGTCATCTCTTTCAAACGTGTCATAATTGGATCACGAATATCATCTGTCATACTGGCCAATAAATTCAATGGTTTTACATAGCCATTTAATCGATTAAATTCTTCACGAATCATTTCTTTTGTTTCATTGGTGACCAATAATGTTTCCAATAGATATTGTTGTGATGTCTGTGATGCATGCCACATTTCTTGTACAATTTTTATGATTTTCGTAGCAAAATATTGTAATTTACTATCCAATTCTTCAAGGCTCAATTTTTTATTACCATTGGTTTGTTGGCCACCATAATCATTGACGCCACCACCATTCGATGAATTGATGATATCATCCATTTTATTATTATCAACAATATCTTTCGATTTAAGAGATATATGTTGTTGTTGTGGATCGTTAATCATCATTGATTCTTGATCAGCTGAATCTCGTTTCTCAATACGATCTCTGTTTGTATATTGTTGTTGTTGTTGTTGTTGTTGCTGTATAAAATCACCATTTTCCAATGATGTTAATAATTGTTTACAAATAATCAATTGATGTGCATCATCTTGATTGAATTTATTCTGTTTCCAACGTTGAAATAATGGTTCACATTGTGCAATCAATTCATCACGTGTTATTGTACTACGACCATTATTCATTATCATTGATGATTCTTGTTGCTGTTGTTGTTCGATTGTCTGTGATCGATGATGATCAGATTCATGCATTTTATCCACGGTTTGCGATTGTTGTTGTTGTTCATTTGTTGATGAATCCATAATCATATCAAATTCTGATTGTTGATGTTGTTGTTGTTGTTGTTGATTTGTCCAATTATAACCATTTTCAAAGGATTCTTGTCCCATACCGGAATCATTCATATCTGTGTGAATTGGTAAATTTTTCAGTGAATAATTTTCACCATTATCACCACCATGACTATTACGATTACTAAATCTTTGTTGTGGTGTTCCATTCGATTCCGTTGTACCATGATTATTATTATTATTATTAGTATTGAAATCTTGTTTAAATAAATCAATCAATTTCTGTTGATAATCAAATGTTTTGCGAATTTTTGTGCCAAAATCATTCAATTTATTCTGTATATTCAATTCGATCATGTTTAATTTTTCATTAACGAGCAAAAATTTTGAAAATAAATCATTGGTTATAACTTTGAAATTTCTTTCAATCAAATCCAATTTATTTAACATTTGTTCATTACTGAATGTAACTTTATTCTCTGATTGTGATATCTAATGAAATGATGTGAGATATAAATATACATTAGATTAGTTGTAAAATCTATTAGAATACCTGTTTGTTTACCTTTGAAAGAATTTCTTCCACCTTCCAGTTTATTGTTTTTTTCCATATTTCATCTTCAATAACAATGTTTGAAAATTTATTTTCAATTGTTGATAATTTACTTTCAACAAGATTTTCCATACTTAAAAACTGTGTTTTCATCATATTAAAATAACTTGGAAATGCTGTCGGTGAATTTAGGCCAAAATTATTCATTGAACGATAATAGATCATTTGATCTTGCAATTTTTGTAGCCGACCATCGATTGATATAAACATATCAGATATGGTTGCCGAATTAAGATGATTATTCACTGTTGATGATGATGATTCCGATGTTGATGGTGTTGATACCAATGATGATGATGTTGATGTTGATTGTGCTGACGATGATGATGATAATGATGATGATGATGATGGTAATTGTCCTACCATCACCACCGTTGTTGATGATGATGGCGATACACCAGGATTTTTTATCGATTCTGGCCTTCGATTCAATGCGGATGCTATTGGTTCAGGTGATGATGATGATGATGTTGATGATTGTTGTGGTGGTTGTGGTGGTGGTGGTAGTAGCGATGATATTGATTGAATTGACTGTTGTTGTTGTTGTTGTTGTTGTTGATCATTCATTTGTAATGATGATAAATCATCCTTTATTCCATAATGTCCATTTTGATTATTATTTGTACTTGTATTCAATATATCATCTTGATCATGATGAATAGATGATGATGATAATTCTACTTTTCCAATGCCAGATGATGATGATGATGATGATCCAATTGATATTGGCGAATCCTGTACGAAACCTGCATTGTTAGTGTTAACAACAGCCATACCAGAACGGCCAATATTATCACGATTAAATCGTTGCTGCTGTTGGTGTTGAGAATAACCGTTATATAAATTTTGTTGTAAATCTATTAAATGAAAATATGAAAATAATTAAAATTGAAAAAAAAACTTTAATAAAGTTCTGGAATTTTTTTTTCACCTTGTTGTTGTTGTTGATTTAATTGTGATGTCGATGTTGATTGTAACATACGATTCTGTATGATTGATAGTGATGGATTCAATGGAATTGATGTTGATGCTGTGGTTGTAGTGGTTGTTGTTGTTGTTGTTGTTGGTGTTACTAATCGTGATCGTTGTAAATAATTACCATATTTTGACATAAATTCATCAAAATCTCTTGGACGTATAACATGATCAATTAATGTTGTTGGTGATTGTTGTTGTTGTTGTTGTGCGGATGATGATGATGATGATGGCAAAATTTGTGGAACAATAGAAGCTGTAATCAAATTGATTGAAATCAATATTATGGCCATTATAATGGCCATCGAAATACAAATGTTTCGAATGGCCATTTTGAATATTTGGAACAATCAAAAAAAAAAAAAAAAAGATCAGGAAAATCCCATTAAACAAATAAATTAGACAAATATTCACAACACAGAATTTTTTTTTCTATTAAAAATGAAGAAGCTTCGATGTAATCGTCGATGTCACACATACAGGCCATAAATAGATGGAAAAAACAAAAATCACACATATGCACACACACACACACACACACACACACAAGATAATTGTTTATAATAATCAAATTGCTGATGATCAATTGATAATTATTTTCAAATAATAATAAATAGCCAGCATTGCTGCTGCTGCTGCTGCTGTTGCTGCTGCTTCCGCCGCCGCCGCTGCCATCATCATCGTCATCATTATTTATCAAATGAATCTTTGTTTCTTCACACTTGGATCGGTACCACTATTTTATTCGATAAAATATAGATGTACCTTGAAATCATCATTCTTAATTATTTCAAAATGGAAAAAAAACAATTATGAAATCAACATAATAATAAAAACAATTTTCAATGTTTGTTGTATATGGTTATAATTTTCTTATTTTTGGCAAACAATTTGTGACGAATATAACGATAAAAAACTAAAACAAAATATTAAAATGTCTGATGATGCAGTCATGCAAAACACACACACACACACACACACACACACAAGCGATAGACACACGCATTTAATTTTTCCATTTACATCAATTTTATTTATTTTTCATATATAATCAGTATATATCTAAAGAAAAAAATCAATAATTAATGGCTGATTCATCAGAAAGAAACAAAAATCAATCAATCAATCAATCAATCAATAGACCAAAAGAGAGAGAGAGAAAAAAAAATCAAAATGTCAATACATGTACATTTATAAATCTCTTCCAGTTTATCAATGAAAAAATGGGAGGTGTGTGTGTTTTTTTTTTTTTTTTGATTCCTGAAACAACACAACACATTTACAGTATGATTTTTATTTGCGCCAAAAAAAAAACTAAAATCAATCAATCAATCAATCGATTGATCGAATGATTTTTGAATTTGAAATCGATATATTTATAATCGGAAAAAAATTAGATAGAAGAAAAATATGATTGGCAAAAACTATTTTTCCATTTCTTCTTCGTATTCGTATTCGTATTCGTATTCGTCTTCTTCAATTGCACCCATCCTGATTGATAGTCAAAAAAATAAATTGTTATCATGAAAAAAATTTATTTTTTTGTTCACTTCATCGAAAATTATCATCAAACATCGATATATCTTGCATAAACAGTATATATATATATATTTTTGTGTACGATAAACAACAAATATGAACCAAAACATATGAAAATCAATCATTCAATGATTGTCAACAGTTTTTTCTTTCTGTCATCACACTGTCAGTGGGTTCTAATTTCAATTTTCCAATTTTTTTTTTTTTTTTTTTTGGTTTCGGACATTAATGAATGATGATAATAATGGAAGACCATATTTATTTTTAATTTATATCAAATCAAATCATTGGAAACAATCAATCAATCGATCAATCAATAAGGAAGATTGAATTGAAATTTTTATTTTTTTCATTCATGGATTCAATCATAGTGTGATGATTAGAAAATGACATTCAATGATGACAAGATATATATATCATATGTCATTTTTCAATTAAATTTTTTTTATTCTTCATTACAAATAAATCTTGTTTCTTAAGGTTATTGATTCATAATGACAGAAAAAGATAGAGCGAGAGAGAGAGAGAGAGAGAAATTATTAATTGATCAAAAACAAAACAACCATAATCGATTGTTAATCATGAGTTTGCTTAATTATTGATCATAACCTCAGAATTCGAACTGATACAATATTCCTTTCCGATTTTTGTTTCGTCTCCAGAATCATAATCCATTTCTGTTGTTAATTTGTCCGAATGTAGATCTGGATTCGATTGTATTGGTGCTTCAGAAATTATTGTTTCTTCTACTACAAATTCAGGAGTTTTTGTAGGCGGAAAATAATAATATTCTTTAATTGGTTCAATCGGTTTGATAAGTTTTTTAAGTTTCTTTAGTTTAACTTCATTAATAGGTTTTGTATCTGTTTTCTTTTGAAACAATAATATCGGTGTTTTATTTTTATCCGGCTTTTTAAAAACAAATGGTGTTTTAGAATTCTTCTTAACGGGATATGGCTTTTTGAATAAATTCGAATCGGATGATGATAGTGGCCCTAATTCCAACAATACCGAAACCGAATCAACAGGATTTTGTTTTGTGGGTAAATTTTGTAGAATTGAACAAGAATTATAACGTCGAAACGGCATTCTTGGCTTCGGCCTCGATGGTTCTGGTGAATTTTGTCTATTGATTGCCTGTCAAAAATAAACAAATCAATCAAATCAACATCAGTATTATAAAGACAATTACAATTTTTACTTGATCATAAATTCTCATTGCTAAACGAATTAGATTGAACATGATTTTTGTTTATACCGTTTTAATTGATTCAAATTTCGATTTCGATTAATCACAACTGTCAACACACACAAATACAATATTGTGACTTTCAAATTAGCTGTTTTCGTTAATTCTTGATTCATGCTAAATACACACAACAGGTCTTTGAATGTAGCAAACGAAACACAACATGTATAAAATTTTCCATCTCTGTTTCTCTTAAGAAATTAATAGATGGCATTATACACAACACGCTGCTGCTATAGCATGGTATACAACGTGAGAAAAAATCGTCTCAATATCCAGTCAATAAACAACGTTACCATTCAATTTATATGGAAACGTTGGAAATTTTTCATTTGGTTTCAAAATCGTCCTTACGATTGACGTTTTTATCGAAGAATGTTGGATCGCATTAATTGCTCATACCAACAATTGGATGATTTTCATATTAAACTTGAAAAAATCATTGTGGATATTCATAATCGAACTGCTTAATCATTATCTGATTCAACCACTGAATTACCACAAAATCAGCCATCATCAACACCATTATACGAACCGTCCATCATCAGGACAGACAGAGCCACATGAAGTTTTCGAACGATTCAAATTGAATTCAGTTTAAATTGATCTTTATTTTGATTACATTTTTATCCAAAAATTAAATTTTAATCAAATTTTTAAATTTCAATTCTTCAGTTTATTTTTTCTCATAGCCATTTTTCACTGGCATCCAGGACATCGACCCTGATGCTTAGCAGTTGCTGGCGGATGTCGAGTGCTTCGACGTAGAGTTGATTGATGTTCAGCAGTTGCTGGCGGATATCGACTGTCTTGATGACTACGCGATGACTGATGCACAGCTCCTGTTTGCTGACATAAAGTACATTGTTGTCGCATGGCTGTTTCTCTTCGACGTATGCCTCTAGTAGAAACACCAATGCGATTTGATCCAGTTTCATCGACTGATGGTCCAGAATCATTCAATTGTGGCAATGTTTGTTGTGAATCAAGTAAATTCTGAATTTCTTGACGACAACTTTCCAATGCACGCATAATGTTCTCTTCGTCTTGTTCACAAGTACGATTGTTCATTTTTATCTTGTGATGAAAAAATAATAATTTTTTTTTTTTTTGTTAACATAATAAAAATAAATCAATATAATCAATTAATACTCACAATTTGAATCAAATCTTGAATTATATTAAAATTTCGAAATGAGCATAAATTAACCACAAAACAATAGAAAACGGTGTGAGGATTGAGTGAGTAAATAATGATGATGATGAAGATTACTGGGAGGAGTACTATAGTAGAGGAGACTAAGAGAGAGAGAGAGAGAGAGAGAGAATAATTCGTTATGATTTATTTCATGAACAACCCTTTTGGAAATATTAAAATTTTAAATCAATTTGCAATTTATAAATGAAATAAATGGGATTTTAAATCAATTAATTGATCGATTGATTTAGATCTTTAAAAAATATTTTAATCAATATGTTTTTATTGAAAAAAAAAATTCATTTATAACTAAAAAAAATTTCATTTCCCTTAAGAAATCAATAGATGGGGCATCATACGAAGAGGAGAATGTATTATATACAGCTATAGTATGATTCAGTCTCCTCTTCGTATGATGCCATCTATTGATTTCTTAAGACAAACAGAGATGGAAAATTTTATACACGTATATGTGTGTGTTTTGTGTTTGTTTGCTACATGCAAAGACATTTTGGGTGTATTTAGCATGAATCAAGAATCGTGAACAGTGAGCACATTGTGTGTTAGTTTTTTGTCCATCTCGTATGTGTGTGTGTACAATTTTGTTTGTTTTGAAAATTTGGTCATTCGTTTTGTGGCGTTTGCTGATTAAATACCCGTCTACAGTTTGGTTTTGTTTTGCCTGATTCAAGTCAATTTTGTTTCCGCTTCTTTTATTTGAATCACTTTAATTGGTTATTTGAAGAAACGACTTTTTCCACATGGCACAGTCAGCACCAGCCATGTGTTTTCGACATCATCTTGAGATACCAGTCAACGAATTTGAAATTGGCCACAAACTTGAAGTGACTAGTTCGGTTAGTCACAAATTGGTACATTTAGCAACCGTAGTCGGTATGGTGGGTCCACGTTTGCAGCTACGTCTGGATGGATGCCACAATAAAATGGATTGTTTCAAATTAGTCGATAACAATTCAATAAGACCTGTTGGCACCCACAAGTCAAGAGGCTGTTTACTCGGTGCACCATTATTTTTTGGGAAATGCATAACAAAATATGGCCGTTTCTGTCAACAGGTGTTGGAAAACTCGGTGCATGCACCGCCAAATTGTTTCAAAAAAGCACCGAAAATTCCAGATAGAAATTATTTCCAACCCGGCATGAAATTAGAAGTGAGTGACATAGATCGGCCAAACCAGATTGTTCCAGCCACAATAAAGAGTGTGGACGGTGTAAATGTCCTGATACACATGGATGGTTGGCCAGAGGATAAAGATTATCATTGTCCTTATTACTCGCGAAGTTTGTTTCCGGTTGGTTGGTGCCAAAAAACTGGTCACGTTCTGCAACCACCCGGTCCTTATGGTAAGGTGGATGTGTATTATTGTCAAGTTTTAATGTTTTTGTTGCTTTGAAATAAAGATGAACGAATCATTAGTGCTAAAAACAATAACAAGCAACGACAGCAAAAGAGACAACAACAACAGCAACCACAACCGAATGTTGGTAATGGTGGTAGAAAGCGGAAACGAAAAACTACCACCTCAACACCTGTTGATGGCAAACCAAGTGGAAGCAATGCGATGAATCGATATAAAGCGCAATTGCCACCTAGAGCAGTGGTCCATCAATGGCCAGTGGATGAATTGGTACAATTTTTGAAGATGCGTTTTCCGCAATTTCACCGATTCGAACAAAAGTTTCGATCGCACGTGAGTGTAACACTAGAGATGTTGTTCTTATTTGCTAATTTTTACTTGGTCATAATTGAATAGGAAATTGATGGCCACGCATTTCTTTTATTGACCGATCATGATTTGATGAAATATTTGGGCGTTAATAAGAGCCATACGCTCAAGATGATCGACCTGATTGAAAAGATCAATTTCCATTGAATCATTAATGAAAAGTCCCATTTCGAGTTGGTTGCATTTTTTTTGTCATTCAATTTCAACACACACACACACAGATTGAGTAGATGATATGATTGATATGACGATTTTGCATTGTCGTAGTTTGCCATTCTCATTGATAATTGTGCCTTTTACCATGTGGTTTTTTCATTTTTATTTTATCCATTATTAATGAATTTCTTTGAAACATTGACATTTGAAATTTTTATTTCCATTATCATGTGAAAGTGATATAAAATCCTTTATCATTATTACACAGTAATCATTTCCATACACGCGCCTTTACTAAATCGTTTTTATTTACAAGTTGTTGTTTGTGTATGATACCATTCTCCTCATCGTGTAATGCCATCTATTGATTTCTCAAGAGAAACAGAGATGGAAAATTTTATATCGAAACAGCGCTAATCGGGGCAGCGTTAAGCGGGTTATTACTGTACTTGTATGAAGAAATGGCGTGAAAAATCACATAGATATCCACTGTGTGTGTGTGTGTGTGTGTCGTGAACACTCGGCTCGATATATATTTGGATAATGTCCAAACGAATTTATGATGAAGAACGAAAAAAAAACTATTCGAACATGGTGATTATCGTATTGTATACATGATCCACCATAATGTAATACTTTATCGTATTCAATCTGATGGTAATATTGTGAGACTTCAAATAATTATGATTGGGATACTTTGTAATAATTTTCATTTTCATAAAGTTTTAAATACAAAAATAAAATTTATCTTTACATTGTTTTTGATAAAAAAAAATACTAATAGTGGTGAGTGTGTTTTATTCACCAAACTTGGCATTTTTTTTTTTTTTGGATTTAGTTGATGATTCTTTAATAGTTTATCAAAAAAAAAAAAAAACGAAGTAAAAAACAAGAAACAAAACTTGTTCGCCAACGCAATTAACGTTAATATTGAATGAACGAATGAGAATGATGATGGGATGATCATGATCAACACAACACAACCATAAATGGAATGTAAAAAAAATTATTTTTTTTCAAGTTAAGCTTGTTCTTGATCAATTTTTTTGTTTATTTCTTGAAAAATTTTTGGATTAATTCTTACTGTTTTTCACACACACACACACACACACACACTTTTATTGATTTTCAACATTTGGCTTTCATTTTCAATTCTTAAAACAAAATCAATCTAATATTTTTTTTGATTGAAAACATACAAAACAAACAAATAATGAATTTTAATCAACAGATTTTATTGAAAATTCTTTGCCTTTTATTGGCCCTCATTATTATTAATGTAGATGGTCAATCATCCTCATCATCATCATCTTATCGTTTACGGCGACGATGTCCAACAATATTTCCAACACATAAACAATTGATGAATTCAAATTCCATTATATTGATTGGTTTAGTTGAACAAATCAGACCATTAGATAATATCGATTACATGGATAATTCAATAAATCGTCAACCAAATTATCAATTATCACAACAACAACAACAACAACAACACCGATACAATCAACATCGAATTATGTGGCCAATGTATTGGTTCGTCGTGTATTACATGGACAACGATCACAATTACAGAATCAACGTATACAGATAACAGGATTTAATCCAAATACGGATTCTAAATTCTATGGTGGTAACCAATGGTGTTATCCAAATACACGACAAGGTGATTCATGGATATTCGTATTACAACCAATAAATTATCCGGATTATTTCCGTTTAAATTCATCATTAATCAAAGTAACATTGTCAAATATTGAACGTTTAGATTCAATTATTGCCGATCAACCATACGGTTTACGGATCGATTTTCCTGAATGTAAGTTTGATGAATGTTTTCTCTTGATACGTTGATTGATTTAATTTCAATTGTTTGGTTTTTTTTATTCATTAATTTAAAATACGAATAATTCAATCATCAATCATCAATCAATCATTCATATAATTGATAAATAGTACCATGTGAAAGAAAATATTGTCCAAACAATGCCAATTGTATTAATGATCCATATGGAACGGATGGTGCACGTTGTGAATGTTTAACACAATGTAATCATAATATCAAATATCAACCAATTTGTGCATCAGATGATGAAACATATAATAATGAATGTGAAATGCGTTTACGTTCATGTCGTTCAAATAAAAATCTATTCATAAAAGCAATGAATTCCTGTTATTATTTTTATCAAAAACGTCCAACAAATACAATTACATCATCATTATCATCATCATCATCAAATCGATCTATATTTCCACCGAATGGACAATCAAATCGTTATCGAACAGCCACTATGACTACTACCACAACGACATCATCATCATCATCATCGTCATCATCAAATACAAATATTAACAATAATCAACCAATGGAAATGTATCGATTTAATCGTCCAGAATATCCATTACCTGATTTGATTCATAATGATAAAAATCGTCAATCATCATCAACAACCAATCGTCAACATATAACAATAAATCGTTCATATTCATATTGATGATTGATAATTGATCAATGTAATATTTCTTGTTCATTACAAGAAAAACAATGAAGCAGAAGAAAAACCAAAACCAAAAAAAAACCTTCCTTTTTTTTCCCATAAATTTTCAATTAATCAATTTTCACCATCATAATAATATATATTGAACAATAAATGATTATAAAAATTTATTTCAATGTTTTTCATCATCTCTGTTTTTCTTAAGAAATCAATAATGTATATCAGAGTAGTAGAATGCAATTATGAACAATGCTTTGGCAATGGAAATTTTCAATTTTATCTTTTTTTTTTGTTAAATTTTTGAAATATTTTTCAACATATTAATTTCCATTTTGTTTATTCAAATCATCATCATCATCAACATCATTTGTTTTAATATTTGAAGTTTTTTTTGTTTTTGTTGTCGATGACGAAGATCGTGATGATTGTGGCCATGTATATGTGCCATAGAATTTGAAACCATTGGCTACACAAAAATCATCTGCCTGTTTACAGCCACGTGTACCATAATAATATGGTGCTGGTACAATTTTTTTCATTTCAATTTCATGTAATAATGGTGTAAATATACGCCATGCTTCAGATAATTCATCTGAACGTACAAAATGCATCTGTGATCCACCAAAAACATCCATCAATAAACGTTCATATGCATCAGGTAATCGAGAATCTTTATAACGATTCTGATAGGTTAAATCCAATTCTGTTTCAGATAAACGAAATGTCATTCCAGGTTCTTTGGTCATAAATTTAATATAGACAGCTTCATTTGGTTGTATACGAATAACCAATTCATTACGAGTACATTGGCCATGAAATATATTACCAGGAACATCACGAAATTGTATACGAATTTCAGCTTTACGTTCATTCAATGCTTTACCACAACGTAAGAAAAATGGTACACCATCCCAACGTTCATTATTAATTTGACAACGTGCTAATGCAAATGTTGCTGTTAATGATTCATTTGGTACGGTTGGATCATCACGATATGATAATCTGCCTTCACCATCTAATTTTGGATTACCAATATATTGGCCTAATACAATATCATCCGATGAAAGTGTACGCATTGCACGTAAAACTTTTACTTTTTCATCACGAATATCTTCGGCATTAGTCGATACTGGTTTTTCCATTGCAACTAAACATAGTATCTGTAGCAAATGATTTTGCATCACATCACGGATAATACCGAAACGATCAAAATAACCACCACGTCCCATAGTGCCAAATGGTTCTTTGAATGTAACCTGTATACTAGATATATGTTCATGATTCCAAATTGGTGCAAAAATACGATTACCAAATCGTAATACCATTAGATTTTGTACCATTTCTTTGCCAAGATAATGATCGATACGATAAATTTCATCTTCATCATATAATGATTGTAAATGACGTGATAATTGTTGTGATGAATCATAATCATGTCCAAATGGTTTTTCAATTATAATACGTTTCCATCCTCTATTTTTTTTTTGACATTTGATGTCGTGTTGATAGATGGCATTAATGAGAGAAAAAAAAATTTTTTTTAAAAAAATTTTCCATTTTAAAACAAAAAAAAAAAAACATACTTGGTATTCCAACAATGTTGTTTGATCAATTTTGTTGTTGATTCAAATATATTTGGCGGCAATGCCAAATAGAAAAGACGATTAGCATGTAATCCATTATCATTATCCTCTAATTCTTGGACACGTTTCATTAATTTAATAAAACCATTATCATCATCATATTCGCCTTGTACATAGAAATTGTGTAATAAAAATTGTTGAAATAATTCACGTTCATCTTCATCACGTAATTTTATATGTCGTCCAATATGTTCATATAATTTTTGTACGGTCATTGATGATCTTGCATAGCCAACGATACCAGTTTTCAATGGCATCAATTCATCACGATATAATGCCCTTTTTTTGGATTGAAATTGAACAACAACAAAAAAAAAATAAACAAAATTTTAAAAATCACAATTCCAATTAATTAATCTTTTCATTTACATACCAAAGTGTTGGATAAATTTTTTTCGTTGCCAAATCACCAGATGCACCGAATACAATGAATGTATGATGATCACCGGTTTCATAGTTTAATGATTCTTTAATCAATTTGATTATTTCTTGTGAACAATGATCATCTTCAAGACAATTATTACTACCAACATTGACGCCATTAACATCATTCATCATCATATTATTACCATCCAAACATGGATTATGATAAATACAGGCACTGGTTTTTTTAGCCACTGGTGATGATTCAATCATTTTTTGTTTATTACAATTATTCATTTCATCACCATTAATTATTTCGGCCATTGTTTCAAATTAAATTGTTTTATTATTGGACAAACCAAACCAAACCAAACCAAACGAATGATGATGATGATGAAATTTTCAAATGAAAATTACTTTTTTTTCTTCTTGGATCAGAAAGAAAAATGGAATCCACCAGTTGAATGAATATTGATGAATTTGAATGAATGTGTATGGAAAAATGACAGTTTTTCACTTATTTTTATATATATTTATTTTGATTGATTAATCAATTTAACAAACACTCGGATGATTTTTATTTGTCACTGATTCATTTAATCAAGTAAATTGATTAACAAGATGCTTGTTATTTTATTTGGACGGAGATAATATAATAAATAAATGATGATGATGATGAAAAAAAATTGATTAAAAACAAAATTAAAAAAAAGACCGACCGAAAAAGATTGATTGAAAAGAGATATTAAACATGCTTGAATCACACACACACACACACACATCTACACAATAAGACACGCCATATATATAACAGATATTACGATAATATCAATTTGATAATAATGAATTTGATTCAATTTAATAATGGTAATGGTGATGATGATGATGATGATGAATCAAATATAAAAAATAATGATGATTTGATTTATTGATCAGAATCGATTGAAAATTGAATATATAGCCACCAACAACAACTACAACAACCACACACACACACACGCACAACGATAATGATGATGATCAATGATCAATGTCGTGATAATAAACGAATGATGATGAACATTGGAGAAAAGTAAAAAAAAACCACATGCTACACATGCCACAATTATTTTTTTGTTTTTGTCATAGTGAATGAAAGAGAGAAAGATAAAGAGAGAGAGAGAGAGAGAGAGAAGTTGAAATTGAGCGAAAAAAAAACTTGTATGGTTAAAATATTTCATCATCATCATCATCATCCATACATCGATTGAAATTGCCTTTTGCTGATAGTTTTTCTCTCTATACATTTCTCTGTTGTGTTGTGGTTAATTTTTTTTTTTTTGGTTAGCCATGAACTGTGTGTATGCTTGCGTGTTTGTGTATGAAATTTATCGTTTACATAACTTCTGTCAATTGTGCCTCTAGGCTTTTTTTTTACATCTCACGCGCTAAACATAAAACATGCGATTTTTTTTTTTTTTTTTTGTTTTGATAGAGCAACAGATAGCACAAAATAATAATGGAAAAAAATTACTGGAATCATTGGATAACGACAATTTGCATTTTTTTTTCTTTTTGCCCTTTAATTCAGTGCATCAATGACATAACATTGATACATAGATGATGATGATGATGATGATGATGGGGAAAAACTTTCACACACACACACACACATGGAGAGAAACTTTAAAAGATGTTCAAGATAGAATACACAAGCCTTCGTAGAAAGTTTAATTTTTAGCCATCAAAAAATTTAAATCAAACAAGGCCCTTTGTGTAGTTCGATAAATGGCCTGATGTTATTTTTTTTTTTTTTTTATTTTTTTTTTTTTTTTTTTTTTGACAACTTGTTTAGATGAAATTATTTTATTGTGAATATATGTAGTTGTTTGCTGGTTGGTTGACCTTCAACCTTTTTTCTTGTTGTCAACAAGCGATTAACGCCGTTATGTCCGAAATGAGTAAAAAAAAAAGAAAAATAGAAAAAAGAATTAACAACTGTTGCGTTTGGCAACAAGTCCATTGACTTGGACAAATCATCATCTGTTTAATCTGTATTTTTTTTCAATGAAATTTTTTATTTGTCATTTTTTTTTGTAAAATGATACAAATAATTTCAAAATAAAGAAAAAAAACGGAAACATTTATTACTATTATGGCGGTGGTGTTTGTTGTTGTTGATCGTTATTATTATTATTATCGATTGTAATAATAATTGTCGTTGTCAACAACAACAACAAAACAACAACAACAAAATTTCTGTTAAAATTTTAAAATTTATTTTTTTTTCAATTTCAATGTCAATTCAAAATAAATTTCAACGGTCGCAAATGATGACGACAATACAAAAACAAAAACAAAACAAAACAAAACAAAACAAAAAGGCAACAGATTTTATTCAGTTTTTCCATTTATCAATTACGTAAATGACATTTGTTTTTATCGTTGTTTTTTTTTAATTTTCCAAAAAAAATATAAGGAAAATGAGAAAAATGTTACCACATTTTTTTTAAAAAATGCGTACGTGTGTGTGTGTGTGTGCGAAATATTCAGATTTACATCATCATCATCATCATCAGCATTATTTGGATGGTGTATGATGACGACCTCTGGTCGTAAGATCATCATGAGTTTGAGATGTTACATATGTTGTTGTTGTTGGATAATAATTTGTACTATGAAATTTTACTGTTGTCGTATGTCGTTTACGTGTACCAGTATGATTCGGTGTTTCATAATGATGTGTTGTATGTTCAATTGGTGGTCCAGTAGTATAATCACATGCCTGTATACTTTCATTGAATACTAATTTATTTGGACATTCAAAATGATATGCACGACCATTGACACATTCATAGAAATAATGTGAATTTTCTGGATCACGATAGAATAAATTATTATTATCTGGACATTTAAATGCTTGGATTGTTCCTAAAATTTGAGAAAAAAAAATTGAATGATGTAATAGCAAAAAAAAAACAAACAAACAAACAAACAAACAACCAACATACCGATAATGAAAATCAATGAAATGAACGTAAGAAATTTCATTTTGTTTTTGTCAAATGGAAAATTGATTTGGATTTTTCAAAATTATCATCAATATATTTTGCGAGTAAATGAAAATCACTGAAAATCGATTGGATTTTTATACCATCAATTTAAAATTAGACAAAAAAAAATATGTTGATGATTGCAATGGATTTCTTTTTTTCAAATGTCTACACTAATTATAGCCGTCGCCGTTGATGATAATCATCGTTTTTTTTCTTACTTTCACTCTGTTTTCAAGAATTCAAGATCAATATCTCATTTGATGCACCTAATCCAAAAAAAAAACACATGAGCACATATATTTCATTCAGATCACTTGATCAATTAATCTATCGATTGATTGATTAGCTAAAAGCGGACATTAAAATTTCTTATTTAGTGTAAGTGTTTTTAAAGATGAAATTTTTATTTTTATTTTTTTTTTTTATTTTCGTTTCCATAAATAAATCACAATTACAATGACATAATCGTAAATGGAATTTTTTTTTTAATTATAAATTATCAACGATAGATAATAATAATAAACACACAATTCAAGATAAAATGATAAAGGCTTAAAATCATCATCATCATATATAATTTAATGAAATAAAATAGCAAAAAAAATGAAAACAAAACAAAACCAAAAATGATTGCAATTCAACTCAATTTGTTTGTCAATTTCAAAAAAAAAATGTGAAAAAAACATGATACATAACGCCACCTGTCGGTTCGAATAGTAACAAAAAAAATGAGATTAAATTTTTTTTTTTTTTTTTGTTTCATCATTCAGTCACATTCATTAATGGCATTGTCTTGGATATTATCTTTTGATTTTTGTTGTTGTTGTTGTTGTTGTTGTTGACTAGAATTTGATCGATTATCATTATCATCATCATTATCATGATGATTGATCATGAATGATGATGCTTGTGTATTAGTATCAGATGTTTGAACAACTTCTACAGATTGAAAATATGGTCGAAATTTATGATAACGAACATGATCAGATGATGGTGGTGATTTTTTCGATGTTTGCAATGGTAATTGTAATGATGATTGTCGTCGTTGTTCATGTTGGTTTTGTTTTTTATTATAATAATAATCATTACGTTCATTTTCTAATGCTGTAATACGTTGTTTCAGACGTTTTTGTGTTGCAGAATATTCAGCAATCAATCTAGCAAAACGTAATTGTAATGAATCCAATTCTTTTTCTAAACGGCGACATTTAAGTTTAAAATCTTCTTCTTCGATTGCAGCACGTTTTAATATTTCTTCATCCAGAAGATTATCTTTACGTAAAATTTGTTTACCTTTTTCAATCAACATATTACATGCTTCAGGATAATCTTCTAACACTTCCCAAAGATCATTTTTTGATAAACAAAATAAATCCGAATAACCAACTGAACGTACGTTGGCCGTACGACGATTACCGGTTTTATTTCCTTTTATATTCAATATAGATAGTTCACCAAATACTGAACCATCTGTTAGTGTAGCGAATACGGTACGTCCATCATCACCAACCACGGATAATTTGCCTTTTTTAACGATATACATTTCTTTACCAACATCACCTTTACGGCAAATATAATCACCAGGTGAAAATACTTGTAAACGTAATTTAAGTATCAATTCAACTAATAATCCAGGTTCACAATCTTGAAACAATTGTACACGTCTTAATGTTTGTAGATGGACATTGATAGCAATTTCTGCTTTCAATTTATCTGGCAATATTGCCGTCACGGAATCTTCATCCAACGATTGTTTATTGGTCCATAGATAATCAAACCATTTGATGACACGATTTTCAAGATCTTTTGATACATGACGAAATTTCATATATTGTTTCACTGAATCCATTTGTGATTGAAATTCAGCACGTGCTGCATTCATATTTGTAATCATTGAACCAACATTACCGACAATCGTGGCGAATATTAATACACCGATAAGAAAATTTATAACAACAAATGTATATTCAAAATCCGTCTCTGGTATCGGCACTTCACCAATTGTTGTCAATGTTAATGTTGACCAATAGAAACAATAAATATATTGATGTCTCAATGTATCGGTTACATTTGTACCATTAATCAATGAAATCGATGGACGATTATAAACCCAACGATCAGTATCGAAACCAATTACATATGATATAGCAAAATAGATACAAGCATTCCAATGAATCAATATTAATATATAGAATATTAGTTTAGCAATACGAAATGCGTGAGGAAAATTCGTACGTGTTTCGGTACGTTCAAAACATTCGGTCAGACGATAAAACCGGAACAATCGATTAATACGTACAATAATGGCACATGGATAAAATGATTCTGGTTCACAATAAGTACCGGTCATTATGAATATTAGATCCGTTGGTAATAATGATATTATATCCAATTTGAAACGAAAACTTTGGATATAATTTATTAATAATTTATTCAAATCTCTAACCAATAGACCTTGTTCCAGATAACCAGTACGTGAACTAAGAAACATGTCCATCAAATAAACACCATCAATAACGTAATCGATAATCATCCAAATTGTTAAATAATTATTTTGCATCTGCCAAAATACTGAACGTCCAATAATTGTGGTCACATTATAAATAACTGAAATGCTAAATGGTGAGACAAAAAAATCATAATCAATTCAAACTGACAAAAAAAACCACTCACCACATAATAAATAACCATTGATAATAGGTTTCTGTGTGACGAAAAAAAAAATCAATCAATCAATCAATTGATATTCTAAACAACAAAATACATACGGCTACCCGGATCGATAACATAATGCAATGGTCGTCTTCGTGATCTACGATTCTGATTCTGTTTATTATTATTATCAGCATTGGAATTATCATTACCACCATTATCATTGTTTTTATCAGCAACATTTATCATTGTATGACGATCATCATCATCATCATCATCAACATTTTTACCAGTGCCATGTGCCATGGCAAATTTTTCCAAAAATGAATCATGACTACCCATTATATTTCTGCCATTATGATGTCCATTATTTCCTTTGGCCCAATATTTAAAAACCTATGGTTTATCGTAAAAAAAAACCCAAACAAAAAGAAAATGTTTAGATTTGTTCATGATCAAAATGAAAACAAAACAAAACCTGAAAAGCATTAGCCACTTTAGGTATATTTAGCCGAAATTCTTTGGTTGCTGTTGTTGTTGAAACTTGTTGCAATGGTTGTGGCTGTTGTTGATTAATAGATTTATTATCAAGTTCAGATTTCAATGATAAATCTGATTGAATAATCGATGATGGTGTCGACAGTGATTGTATACTTGATGTTAATAATAATTTTGATTTTGTCATTGTCATCATCGATGAAGCTGATGATGATAATCGACGACCCGATTGTTGTTGTCGTTGTTGATGATTATCATCATTATCCGTTGCTGATGGTGAATTAATATCCAATGTGGTTGTTGTCCAAATTGTTGATTGTCTTTGTAAATGATGATTGCGATTATGATTTTCTTGTTTTCGAATATTCAAACCAGAATCTAAATGTTTATTATTCTGATCATTATCATCAGGAATCGTACGTATTGAACCATTCAATAATGGTCTTGATTTTTCATTATCATTATTATTACTATTATCATCTGAAATTGGTGCAACCATATTCATTGTCAAATTACGATATAATAATGATTGATTTGACATTCGTCGATTTGTCTTTATTTTAGACGGTTGTTGGTGATGATTATTATTTGTGCTCATTATATAATCATTATCATTGTTTAATAATGGACCAGAAACAATTTGATCGATTGAATAAAGGCAATAATCATTTGATGATTGTTGTAATGCTGAATATGGATGATAATCCAAATATTTTTGTTGTTGTTGTTGTTGTGGTCGATTATGATGATGATGATGATGATGAAAACCGGACCAACTATTTGTACGAAAACGTTGATCATCAAATAATGTTAATTGTTGTTGTCGTGTTGGTTGTTGTTGTTGTGGTTGTCGTTGTTTAGATCGAAATAGCTGCACTGATGATTCATTTATTGATTTATTATATTGATCATGATCATCATTTGAATAATTTACATTTTGATCCGATTGTCTTCGTTGTCGTTTTTGTTTTCGATGTTGTTGTTGTTGTTGTTGTTGCTGTTTTTGATAATTATGTTGTGGAACTTGTAATAAATGGCAAGAATTTCTTTTATTATGAATAATTTGTTGTTGTTGTTGTTGCTGTTGGATTTTTGGTTTGGTCAATTCAATAATTGATGATAAATATTGATAATCATTATTTTCATCATCATTATTATTAATAATAAATGATGATGATGATGATGATGGTAATATTGGCGTAGATGCTGATGGTGATAATGAATATAGATTTGTTTGATCCAAATATATTGTCGGTGATGCTGTTGTTGTTGTTGTTGTTGTTGTTGTCGTGGTTATTATACAATTTTCATCTAGAAATTGTGAAAAAAAATACAAAAAAAAATTCATTATTTATCTACTGTAGTGAGAAAAAAATGCCAAATTCATTTATTCATTTCTAAAACCTGAAATGTTGCTATTATTTGTATGTAGAATTTGATGTAAACCATTTGTTGATATTCTGTTTGGATTCTGGTCATTATCATTATCATCATCATTGTTAATCACAATGGAATGATAATCATTATTCGCAATGATTGTATCGAATCCGGTGGTCGATTTTCTTCGTCGATACTTATTCGTCGATGATATCATTGTTATTAATTATATGGTTCGATTTGATTTTTTAAATTTTTATTGAAAATTGTTAAAAAAAATCATACACATGATAGCCAATCAAACAACATGAATGCAAGCATGTTTTTTCACAAATTTACAATGGGAAAAAAAATTATCTGGACAATTTTTTTGCCTTTGTTTTTTTTTTAGTTTATCAATACGATGATGAGAATGGATCAGTGTGAATCATCACTTCTCATATATTTCTCATTTGTTTTGTTTGTTAATATATATATATATTCTTGTTTTAATCGTCTTGTTGACGGATATGTCAATCATCATCATCATCATCATATAATTTAGTTCTGGTAAAAATGTCAGCAAAGCAAGAAAAAAAAATGAATAGTTTTCGAATAAAGTATTGAATAGATATCCAACATCAACAACAACCAAAAAAAAAAGAGAGATGAAAACCACAAACAAACACTTGCCATTCACAAACATGAACCAGAAATGAACCAGAATTTTTTTTCTTGTTTTTTTTTCTCTCTCTCTTGATGTTCATCTTGATGTCTCTATCCGTTATCTATCTAGGACGCGAGAGAGAGAGAGAGAAAGAGAAAACACGCCAATAATGGATGCGCATTTAAACATAGTCATCTTTTTTGTTTGTTTGGTTTGTGTCTTTATGTATTTGGTTTGGTAGAAAACAGTCGAAACAAACAAAACTAAATGAACCACACGTTCTTTTTACGCTATTTTCTGTTGGTAGTTCATCATCATCATCATCATCATCATAGATTTCTGGTTAAAACTTCAAATTCCTTGATAATATTCGTTGGCCACAATATCAATGAATGTTTGTAGCTTTCTATATGAATTCATTCACATCATATTCATCATTGGTTCTTGTCATTCGTTATTGCTGTTGTTGTTGTTGTTGTTGTTGTTGTTGTTGTTGTTGTCATCATATTTTTTTTTTGTTCTGTGTTTTATTATTATGTAATTCATAATGATGACAATAAAATTATGATTATGATATCAAATGTTATTGGCACATTGTTTGAATCGAACAATGTGCCAATACAGATACACGCACATACCCACACACTTCAGATCTTTCTATTTCTCTGTCAAATAAATTCAATTGTATTGATTGACAAAAAAAGGCGAATTTTTTTTTACTTTGTTTTTTTCTATGGGTATGGTAACGGGTTAGATGAAATTTTGTTTTTTATTTTATTTTTTTTTTTTTTTTTTTGGTTCGCACTTTTCAAACATGATTATAATGTAGAAATGACACCCTGTTCATTTCTATGGTATTCATTTACTTGTCATCATCATCATGATGATGATGACAATGATGAATTTGTATTGAAAATGATACCATATTGAATATTCATTCGTTGTCAACCATTTCATTTCATTTCATTTTTTTTTTTTTGTTGAAAGAGAGAAGAATGGGTGTTAATATCATCATCATCATCATCTTTTATCTTTTATATTTATTTATTGTTTACTGAAAAAAAAATTTTTTCTCAGATCAATCGATCAATTGATCAATCGATCGCTAAAATTATTATTATTATTATTATTGTTTATTATTTATTATTTCATTTCCCTTAAACTAAATAGATTGATGATAGAACGCATGCTCTTTTTTTTAAAGGGGTTAATGATGTGATGTGTGTGTGTGTGTGTGTGTGTGTGGGATTAATAATTTGATTATCATCAAATGATGATGACCAGTGGTGATGAAAATGTCATCATATGACCATATTAAATAAATCGATTTTCAATATATACAACAACAACAATGATAAAGGAAAAGCAAGAGAATTTGATTATATCTAGAATTTTACTTTTTCGTTTTGACACATCGTTGTTGTTGTTGTTGTTCAATATCACATGATGTTAATCATTATTTATTTGTTTGTTTGTATGTTCATGTGTGGTTTATTATCATCATTTTTTTTTTTTTCGGTAAAATAATTCCATTTTTTTCTAATCATCATCATACACATGATGATGATTAGAATTGACCATTTGGAATGATCGTTTTTTTTAATCAATCCGATTTGATTGACTTGAAACACACTATATACATGTATAATCAACAATGGTCAAAGAAATTCATCATCATCATCATCAAGAACAAGAATTAATGTTGTTGTTGGTAATGACTAGAATTAATATTGATCTTTCTCCGATTCTATTTTTTTTTTTGATCAAAATGAATTTTCTGGATAAAAACATAACTAGAACCATCGCCATGAAAAAAAATGACAATGACAAAGCATAATAGTTGAATCAAACAAATGAAAATCGAAAAAAACACTTACCATTCAATCGATAGAGATGGCAAAAAAAGAAATATTTGATTAAATTAAATCAGATTTAAAAGGTGACCATTGATTGATTGATGAGATGGATTAATTCGCATGTTACATACATGAAAAAAAACATCAAATTGAAACAAATGGCAAGCAATCACACACACACACACACATTGACACAATAAATTGATTGAGACAAACCAATGAACGAGAAAAGATTTTTTTTTTAGAAATAGAAAAATTGGTTTTGAATCAAATTTTTTTTTGTCGCCGTTGTCGAAATGAAATGGAAAATTCAACTGACCAATGACTAAATACAAATGAATTGATAAATTTTTCTTTTTGTTGTTGTTGTTGTTGTTGCCAATACTGTCACTACTATGTCATTGTTAATGAGTGTGTGTGTGTGTGTGTGTGTGTGTGTGTGTGTGTGTGTGTGTTGTTGTTGTTGTTTTTGTGATAATAATGTTGATAATGAAATAAAAACAGGGAAAAAGAGTGGGAGAGAGAGAGAGAGAAATAAAAGTCTCAGAAACGCAAACATATGAGAAAAAAAAATAGATTGGTGTACAAACACACCACCACCGCTATGACCACCACCAATTAAATGATGAACAATTGCTATTTGAAAATGAAATTGGAAAATAAAATGACGACAATGATGATGACATTTTCACATTGTGTTTTTGATATATATATATATACAATATATAAAGAATGAAAAAAAAAAAAATTTTTTTTTCTCTATTTGATTGATATTAATCGATTTGAAAAAGGTGGAAATAAATTGAATGAATCGAATTCTGAAAAAAAATCCAAAAGGTTTTTCTTTTAATTATTATTATTATTATTATCATTATTTGCTTCATAATTAATCCACATATATTCTGCCTGTGTGTGTGTTTGTGTTTAACCTTTAATAAATGATAAATAATAAATAAATATTTGTTTTTCTTCACTCAATTATTATTGATTTTGTTCAATACAATCATCATCATAATCAATAAACGGAGAACGAGTGCGAGATAATAATAAAATGAAATTAATATTTTTTGCCGTTATCCATGGCAATATGGATTTCAATTCATTCATTCATTCAATGTTTGATTGGTTTGTTTGTTCCAGAAAAGCCATTTTCAGTGTCTATTATCTTTATTAGTTTGTTCCAGGAATATTTTTATTTTTTTTTTCATTCGTTTTTTTCGTCTATAGAAAAAAAAGAAAATTAAACAAATATAATAAAAAAAAAATTTAGATTGCTCCATTTCTTTTTTTTCCATTGTTGTCAATACATGGAAAAATGTTTCAATTTTTGTTCATCAACAAGAATTGGTTGTTTGGTTTTCCTACTTCATCAAGTTAATCTCTATATCTATCTATCTATTTTCGTGGTGTGAAATTCAAGTGGAAATCATGACAAATATTTACACTTATTTGACACTTAGTATATATTTATTTATATATCAAAAACGAAAAAGAATTAGAAAATGGCCAACGCACATAGACAGAGAGTGGCAAAAAAATCAAAATACAGTGATGACACATCACTGATTCTTTAAAATATAATCATTTTATTTTTATAATGAAAATATATAATTTTAAATAATCAAAATCAAACGGAAAAAAAATTTTATCCAGATGCATAGAGAAAGATAGAGAGAAAGAGAACAGGCAATTTTTTTTTCTTTAGTTGAATTTTTTCATCCGTTCACCATTATTTATTGCGGTGGATGAATTTTGAACTTGTGATGGTGATAATGACGATGACGACGACGACGATGTTGTTGATGATGATGATGATTGTTGTTGTTGTTGCTGCTGCTGACGACGTTGTGAATATGGTTTCCATAATTTATACAATTTATATGCATAATATAATTGAAAAATATGAACCTGAATGGCGATTATTGAAAATGCTTCAAATATAACCGATAATGGTAGATTATGCCAAACAAATTGTAATTTTGTAATGTCACGTTCATAAATAAAATTATAAAAATCCATAAAATAAATTTGCTGTGCCCAAACAATAGGTATGAATGCAAATAAACCGATACCCATTAGATAATATTTAATCATACGAAATGAATTCGTACGTATAGCACGTGCACCAAATATTGTGAATAAAAATGATAAACCATATGTCCATTCCCATATATCTGGTTTCGGTATCTCTAATTCTTGTAATTCCAATATGAATATATCCATACGATCCAATATATCTTCGCTTAATTTTAATATAATCAATAGATAAAGAAGAAAATGTAGATAAAATGTAATCTTTAGATAATGTTTTGATATGGCACTGTAAAGTAATAAAAAAAAATGAATAAATTAATAAATTGATGATTGATCATCATATTCAAACATTATTTTTCTTCACCTGAATGAATGAGCTGATACAACACGTTGTCGATGTTGATAATCTGTACCATCCGTACCGATAACATATTTACCTTTGGAAGCCATTTTTTTCTAGCAGATGTTGTTGTTTTTTGGTTGGAATTAAAAAAGAGAAAAAAATCAGAACAAATATCCAGAATCGTAGTCAGAATAGATGATTGAATTTCCTGAAAATGATGAGAATAATCATTAATGAATAAATAAATAAGAGAAATTTTTTTCAGAAAAAAAACAGTTTAAACTTGTGTATGATGCATCATCATTTCAGTGGATCGATAGAATCCATTATTTTTTCAATGGGCTATCATCGTTATTATTATTGTTTGTTTGATTGATTGATTAATTCACAAATTCACATTTAAACGAAAGTTAATTCCTGTTTTATTACACAAATTCGGTCATGATCATCATCATCATCATCGGTCGCTGCGTGTGTGTTAATGTGTGGAAAAGAGCAACGAAAACATTTCTTCTACATCAGTACGAACGAGAATCGTAGTGGAAAATAAAAAAATTCTTTTCCAAAACAACCACTAGACTTTTATTTTACTGGATGTCGTCGTCGAGTGTCTAAATTTAGAATTTTAAAGAATCATGGCGCCTATGTACAACAACAACAGGAATATTTTTTTTCATTTAAATTTAAATGAATGAATGAATGAATGGATGGATGATGATGATAAAATTGATGCCAAACAATGCAAATTCGTCTTTCATACGTCTACAAAGCGATTATTTTATTCATCATATAAAATTCAGAAAATTCAGACTGGATATTTTCCTTTTTTCATTTCTCGAAATTGAATGATAATAAAGAGAATTTTTTTTTTTTAAATGATAAAATTGAATTAAATAAATTTACCTTGTTGTTTTTCGTCGTTTGTTTGTCTGATTTAAATCGATGATGATGGAATCCAAACAATGAAAATGAAAAAAAAAAGAATTTAAAAACATGTGTACAACAAATTTGCACGAAACAAAACAAAAAAAAACTCGTACACACACACACATATTTTTTTTGTACACATCATACACAGCTGTTCTGTTCTGTTCTGTTTTTTTTTGCACAGCTCCCCTTCATATAAACCAGTACCGGATTATTTTACGATTTTTTTTTATTATTTTTTTCATATTAATAAAAAAAAAAAAATTATTGATGAAAAACAACAAAGCGAAAAAAAAACAAACAAACAAACAAATGATCCTGGTTAAAAATATTTATAATTTGTAAATAAATGTGTAGACATTTTGATAAAATAAAATTGTGTAATTGTGAAATTGTAAAACAAACAAACAAAAAAAACAAGAATAAAAACAACAAGAATCGAAAAAAAAAAAAATTGTGAAAAAAAGATGATGAAAAACAAAACAAAAAAATTTAATCAAAATGAAAAATGAAAAATTTATCTCATCAAATGGCAAATTCAAAAAAAAAACTTGTATGTAGTGGATGAAATCAAAAACAAAATTCATGTTGGTTAATTGTCAGATAAAAAATTGAATTTTTTTGAAAATTTAATTCAGTGAAATGAAAAAAAAACAAAACAATTAATCAAATCGAACGTATTAACGAATAAATGTGATTGGCATAAATGATGATGATGTATCCTTGGTCATTGTCATGAATTTTTTGTTGTTGTTGTTGTTGTTGTTGTTGTTCATTTGTAGTAGCAATAGAAATTTTCCTACTGTTTATCATTGATGGCTGTGGTTGTTGATCACGATTTTGTTGTTGTTGATGATCATTATTATTATTATGATGATTATGATTAGCACCATTAATACCTAGATTTAAACCGGATGCATAAACATCACGATTTAATGGATAAAATCTAGGCGATTCATCACATTTAACATTATACCACCAATCACAGATTAGATATTCTTGAGAAAATATTGTTCCATTTGGACAAAGAAAACTATGTTTACCACCAATCAATTCGGTTGTTTTACGTGAATGATTTGTCACCGTTGTTGTCGTTGATGATGGTATTAATTTAGTTAATCGTAATTTTGATTCAGACATCATAATAGTTTTTGGTATTGATGCTGATGCTGCTGCTACAATATCTCGATCTTGTTGTTGTTGTTGCCGCTGTTCAATGGTTATATGCCGTTTTTTCATTACACTATTCAGGCTACAACTATGATAAACTTGACAACCAGTCTCCATATCAGAATAAAAACCTGGATATTGTTGTTTTGAACATTGAAAATCAGTATCAGGTATGTGGCCAAAAATTGGATAATCAACGCCAGGTACACCAGGTACATTTGCTTCACCAATTTCATCATCATCATTATCATCACCATCATTATCATAATCATCGTCATCATCATTATTATTTTTATGATTATGATTATTTTCACTAAAATTGAATTTAATTAATTTATCATTCTTTGATGTCGATGTTGATGATGATGATGGTGCATTTTTTGGATTCTTCAACGTTTCAACCAATTCATATTTAGCTATATTTGTTTGTTTATCATTCGAAAATAATGATGCGGATGATGATGATGATTTTGATTCATTTTGTTTATCAATATCGCCATTATTATCGATTTTCGTATTATCATCATCATCGTCATCATTATTAATCATCAATTGATCCGGTATAATTACATTGGCAAAACCAAAATTATTCGGTATTTTTGGCATACCTGGTGGACGTCTTATTAAAATTTGATCATCATCATTATCATCATATTGATCATTATTGTTAATTGAATCCAATAATGATGATTGTCTCTTATTCCATGGATTCGATGATAATGGTTTCAATGGACTTTGTCCTTGTTCGATACGATTAATTTTTGCTAATAATAATGATGATGATGATGATGATGATGGCCGACGAGTTGTAGTTGTCGTCGTGGTCGATGTTGTTACCGTTGGTGTATCCATTTTCTGTACAGTAGTATGTTTACGTGATTCAATCACATCGGGCATTGTAATATCCATTTTCAATATCGGATTTTTTGTTATCGTGCTTGTCGTTGTTGTGGTCGATGGTGATGATACTTTTGTCATTATAAAACGTTGTGATTTAATATTCGGTAAACCAAATTGATTACGTTCAACAATTGTATTGATTGATTTTGTCGATGTCGATAATGATTGTTGACGTGATTTTGATCTTAATGATTTTGATGATGATGATGATGATTGTTTTTTTCCTTTGGTTTGTCCACCTTTTTGATGTGATGATGATGATGATGATGATGATTTCAATGTATTAATAGCCGATCTAGTTATCTTTACGGTTGGATTTGTTGTTGTCGTTATTCGTATAGTAGATGTTGGTTGAACAGTTGTTGTTGTTGTTGTTGTTGTCGTAGTTGTAGTTGGAGCCGGTGTTGTTGTTGTTGTCGTTGTCATTTCCGTTTCTTCTTCCTCTTCTTCTTCTTTATCCTCAATTGAAATCGCATTATCAGTTGTCTTTGGTTGTTGTTGTCGTTGTAGGTATTACTACATTTTCTTCATCATCTTCATCCAGATCTAAAGCCGATGTTGCTGTTTGTTCAATTTCATGTTCATCAATTTCACGTTCAATTTTTGGCTTAGCTGTTGTCGTTGTCGTTTGTTTTCGTTTACCAAATACATTGGTAGGTAAAGTGGCTGTTGTTGTAAATGATTCATCAAACGTTGTAGTAGTTGTTGCTGTTGTTGTAGGCGTTTCACCGGAACTGCTATTATTATTATCATCATTATCATCATTACGATTATGTTGATGATGGAAAAATGTTCGTGGTGTTATTGTTGTAAGTAAATCTTCAATATCTTCATCATCATGTATAATATGTCTTTTCAATGTTTCTTCATTTGGTTTGTTACGATCAATTTTCACTACGGGTCCTTCACGTTCTAATCCAGAATTTTTATCATCATCATCATGATGATCATCATCATCGATACAATCGTCAAGATCTTTTGTTGGAATTGTTGTTGTTAGATCAACAATTTCTTCAATATTTGGTGCCATTGTTGTTGTTGTTGATGGTGATAATGATTCTAGTCCTGTTTCTGGTTCATCATAAATAACTGTACTTACAGTATTTGGAGTTGTTGTTGTTGTTGTAGATCGTTCATTTTCATTATCATCATCATCTTCCATTTCTGTACTCTCATTTTCATCTGAATTCGAAATAAATGATGATGTTGTCGTCGTTGTAATTTCAGGCATTTCGGTTGTCGTTGTCGATATTGATGGCTGTGTTGTTGTTGTCGTTGTCGATGTTGTGGTTGTTGTCTTCGATTCGGTTCGATTAGCCAATTCACGCATACGATTTTCAATTGCTTGATTTAATTCTTTTACCAATGAATTCAATACATTTGTTGAACCAGTAAATGAACGTTTTGATTGATTATTTTCATCATTGGATACGCCCGGATGTTCATCATGATTTACGGCTTCTTCATGATCCATTAATATTGCAATCGGTGATTGTGTTGAAAATGTCAAATGTGGTTGTTGTTTAACTTTACGTTTTAATGTAAAACTTTCCATATGATTATTACGATGATCATCATCATCATTATCATTATGTTTACCATTATCAGAAAATTCCAATGTTTTTGATTTAAGTTTTATATCAAAATTTCGTGGCTGATCATCATCTAAATTATTTTTATCACTACTCAATGATTGTATTCGTGTTGCCACACTACCGATTCGTTGTTTTTTTGTTTTTGTTGTCGATTTTGGTATTTCAAATGTTTCCAAATGATGATTCTTCAATGTAATAATCAATGGTATTGAATCATTTTGTTTATCAAGATTATCAATCATTGTAGGTGTGGCGGCTGTTGTTGTTATTGTTAATTCTTCATTTGATAAATTATGTGGATTCGTTGTTGTTGTTGTTGCTGTAGTTGTGGTTAATTCATCATCATCCACTCCATCTTCATGATCATCAGGATTTGTCATCGTTGTTGTTGTTAAAGTTTTAATTAGATCAATATTAACAACATTTGGTTTTGGTCGTGTTACCTGTATTCTTGCTTTCATTGATGATTGATGATGATGATGATTTTGAATAGCACGTTTTGGTGGATTAAATTTATTATTACTTGAAATGGAACTACTGCTGCCATCTATTATTGTTGATCGTTCCATATTATTATTTAATGAATCATGATGATCAGTATTATTATTTTGATTTACATTATTTTTCATATCATTTTGATCATTTGCTTTTGTTGTTGTTGTTGCAGGTAAATTAAAATGATTAACCACTGTTGTTGGAGGCGTTGTTGTTGTTGTTGTTGTTGTCGTTGTCGATGTTGTTGTTGAACGTGGTGTAACATGACTATCACCAAATGGATTTTCCAATTGATTTTGATAATCATTTAAATTATTATTATTTGATAAAAGTTCATAATGATAATGTCTTCCAATATCAGTGGATAATTGATTTATATCTGATGTTGTTGCCGATGTTGTGGTTGGTTGATATCGTCTTACTGGCTGTGATCGTGGTAACGATGATAATGATGATGATGATATCCCCTGTACAGGATGATAATGTGCATGTGGATGATGATGAAAAGATGTTGCATCAATCGGTGTATGAAATAATGGCGGAAATCCATGATCTTGTGATATAACAATAACACCTGTAGCTAATGATCGATCATTTAAACGATGTGCAGGTAATGGTATTACAATATTCTATTAATTTAAAATTTACAAAAAAAAGAAAACAACAAAATGATTTAGATGAAAAAATAAAAAACAATGAAAAAAAAATTACCTGAATAGTATGATTATTATTAAATTTATAATACATTGGATGTCCACCATTGCCAGTATCATCATCATTATGATTATTATTATTATGATTATGACGATTTTGTATTGACATTAACATTGGCTGTCGTCGATATGATGATGATTGTGATTGATGATGATGATGATGATTATGATTAAGATGATGATGATCATCATCATTACCATTCATCATTGTTGTTGTATAAACATTACCATTACCATTTTCTAGATTTGATATTTGATTATTTTTACGTTTAATTATTCGTTTACCACTGTTGTTATCAACATTGTCATCATTATTATTATCATCAGAATTCAAAGGATCATTATCATCATTATCATGATCATCATGATCATCATCATTATTGGCCGTTGCAATCGGATTTGTACTGTTTATTGATTTATCATCAATTAAAGCCGTAGCTAAATGATCAACATTATTGCCCGGTATTTTTCTATGAGGAAGAGATGATGAATGTTTAACTATTTCTACTTGATCATGATCATTATCTGGTGGCCCAATTTCAACAATTTCATCGACTGTAACTGTTGCCGGTTGTATATTAACAGCGGCTGCTGTTGATGATGGATGATGATGATGATGATGATTATAACGATGATGTGTACGATATGTCAATACTGAGGATGATCCAAGATTATTGCTCACATTATTACTACCATCAACAGCATTGTTAATATTCTGATTCTGATTACCATTATCAGCAATACTACGTGTAACAATTGTACCACGTGTATTTAATTCTGATATTGATCTTGGAATATTATTTGTCTTTGCAGTTGTAGACGTCGTGGTTGTCGTTGGCAGAATTGTTGTTGTCGTTTTTTTCATCATTGGTGATGGTGATGGTTCATGTTTGAATTCAAATTGAAATTTATGTACAACATTCGTTGATTCGGCTGCAATTAATGGTGATGATGATGATGATGATTGTTTTGGTGTTTTATTGGCATCAAATAATGATAATGTTGATGATGGAGATGATGATGTTGATGATGATGATTGTGATTGTTGCTGTAAATGATCATCATTTTCATCAATATCAGCTATAGTGCCACGACGAAATTTCATTCCATTCGATCCAATCGAATATTGATGATGATGATGATATAAACCTGGACGATGATGATGATTATTATTATTATTCAATATTGGTGATTGTAATTGTGATAATTGATATTGATTTGCATCTGGAAAAAAACAACAACAGCAAAAAAAAAACATAATTTGAAATTAAATGAAGAAAAAAAAATTAATCAAAAATGAAATCGATCAGAAATTATGATTGTTTATTTCCCGTGCAAAAAAAACGATGACCGAAGATAAAACAATCATAATTTTCATTATCAATTTATTTGACAAATCAATTGTTTGTTGTCCGATAGATAGTCAATATTGGAAATGATTGAAATATATAAAGTAATCAATGAGTAGAAGAAGAAGAAAAAGAAAAAAAAATTACTTACCAACAATCGATGTTGAAATGGTGGCCAATATAATAATAACTAGATTCAAAATAGTCATCGTAAATAAATGTTGATGTTGATGATAATAATGATGATGCTGATGATGATGATTATGATGATTACGATGATAAATGGATGTTGATGGTGATTTTATTCGTGAAGCCAATGTTGTTGATGATGATAATGATTCTGATGATGATGATGATGATTTAGATCGAAATTTAGATGATGACATTTTATCTTCATAAATGGATGAAGATGACAAACTTTTTAATGTTAACATTTTTGTTTTGAACGGGTGAAAACAAAATAAAATTGAAAAATCAATAAAAACAAAATCCAAAAACTCAATCGGCCAAGAAGTCTAGTTGTGATTGATCAAAATTGATTGGTGATAATGATAAAACAACTCAGATGATGATGAAGGCATGATCATCGACAAATATTCATTGATCATCATTGATCCATAATCGATCAATTATTTTAATGATCAAATAGTCATTATATATTGTTGTGATGTATTGATGAACATTTGAAACATTCAAAAATATCCAGATAGCAGCACTTTATTTTATAAACACAAACGAATGTACAAATAAAAAAAAAAATAAATTAAAAAAAATGAATAAATAACAAAAAAAAATTCAACAACAAAAACGAAATCGAAACAGAATATGAAAGATGGAAAAAACACACTCTGTTGTTGTTGTTGTTGTTAACGTTACGATGGCTAAATGTTGAATGATTCAAATTGACCAATGGTCATTGTCTTTTTATAACTGTCTAACATAAGATGATGGTGGTCCCCATTTCAAATGATGATAATGATGATGATAGAGGATGGATCAAGATGAAGATGAAGATGCACAATATTTTTTTTTATTATAATAATCATTACACACACACATGTTGAATGTGTTTTAGAAAAGAAAAGAACGAAAGAAAGAAAGAAAGAAAAAAAAACTTCAAGACCTATCATCATCATTATTTTTGATTTGTCTTGGATCATATCACCAAAAAAAAAAAAAAAATCCAGTACAAAGAGAATCAGATATGTTGGAACAGTAGAGACTCATTGAGAGAGAGAAAGAGACATTTAATTTTTTTATTTTCTGTAGATAAATTCCCAAACACACACACATTACCGTTATCTATTATCCGTTACACACACACACACACTCTGAAAAAACATCCTATCGGCTCTTTTTCTCCCCAGTTTTGATTTGTTGGTGGTGGTAATGGTGGTGGTGATGGTGATGGTTTACTTAGCTTTCACTTTTCACTTTTGCGAAAAAAAGATACAAAAAATCATCTCGAAAAAACATTCAACAAACAAAACAAAACAAAACAAAAAAAATGTTTGATTGATGATGATTTAAGAAGAAGAAGAAGAAGAAGAGCCCAAGACATTTGAGAGTGTGTGAGTGAGTGAGTGAGAGAGAGAGAAAGAATTGAATTCGTTTTGAATCCAGAAAAAAAGGAGAAAGTTTTATTAATTTTTTTCTTTTCACTTTTTCTCAATTTCTATTCTATTTTTTTTTTTTTTTTTTCATCATCATCATCATCATTGTTGTCGTTTTTTTCGGGTTTATTTATCTGTTTCGGTTAATCATTATTGTTGGGTGCAACAACAACAACAACAACGACAACAACAACAAAAGAACAAAATCACTAAAAATGGATCCAAAAAAATACGTGGATAATTGCTTTTCATTCATTTCACTTTATCATATCATCAATGAGTATTCATTTGACATGGGATACAATTTGCATATATATATTGTATTTAGGAATTTTTTTTTATATTCACAATGGTACCCTTTTTATTTAAATTTTTTTTTTTTGATTTTTTTTTTCGTAGATAAGAATCTTGAAAAAAAAAATTTCATCAACCTATTTTTTGCACACACACACACACACAATAATTTTATTTTCTGGTTATGATATCTGAAAAGAAAAAAAAATTTTTTTTTTACAAAAGAAAAAAAGGGCAATTTTTTGCTGTTTAAATTTTTTTTTTCTCCATAAAGATTGGATTTTGTTGGTTGGTTGGTTGGTTGGTTGATGACTTTTGTCCACGACATTCTCTCTGTGTGTTTGTTTTATCATCATCATTTGAACAACAAAAATTTTCTCAATACAAAACACGTACATAACAAAATACATGTGTACGTGTTTTGTTTTTGTTTTTTTTTTTATTTTTGATTTTTGATTTCACCCGAAAAAAATATATGGATCACATCCTTTTTTTCAACAATAAGGACAAAATTGATTTTTATTTTTCTTCGTTTTGTTTTGTTTTGTTTTTGAATTCATCATCGTTTTTTTTCAATTTGATGAACGGATTTTTTCATTTCACACCAACAACAATTAATAATCAATGAAGAGAAAAAAAAATCAGGACAAAATCAAAATTAAAGTCATGAATGATGAAACATTACGAGACGATTGTCTTTTTGTTTTGTTTTGTTTTTTTTTTTTTTACCTGTCAATCGATTTATAAAATGGTAAAGAATATAAAGAGATGAAAATTCAATGAATTTAAATCAATTAAATCTGCAACGAAAACAACAACAACAACAACGACAAAATCGATCGATCGATCGATTTTTTTTTGTTTGATCGACATAAATCTGCTTTTATTCTCTTTCTTTCTCTTTATGTTTGCTGCTGTTTAATATATATAATTAATAATAATTACATATTGATTTGATGGGAAAAAAACGATGATGATGATGATGATGATACGATTAGCGATCAGATGATTATCGGATTTCTTTTGTTGTTGTTGTTGTCGTTGTTGTTGTTGTTGTTGTTGAAACGAAAGTGTAACACATAAAAAAGGCGTGGAATTGAATGTCAAGTTTTTTTTGCTGAACATTCATTCATTCTGATTCAATTGATAAATTGAATTTTTCATTTGTAGTTCAAATTCAAAGTTGAAAAAGAAATTCATCATCATTGATTGAATGGGATTATTGAAAAAATTGATTTTTTTTTTGACTTTGTAGTCATTCATTCATTCATTCATTTATATTATTCAGCTTAAATATTTTTTTTTTTTTTTTTCAACATTCGAAAATTCCAATTGATAATCACCGATGATAATCCGGTTGTGAACATTCATTGTTAATCTGATCGTTCACAGACACACACACATACACAGTGTGTCAAGTGCATTTTTTTTTATATCGATTTACGGAAATTCAATCCACAACAACGTAATAATAATGAGGGTTATTCACAAACATGTGTGCGTATGTCAATGATGATAATAAGTTTATATAATCCACCAACATTGGTGATGATGATGATGATGATAAATCCAACAAAAGTGGAATTTTCTTTTTAGTCGACAATCGACAATCATTTTTTTTTCATTTTCCTAAATAAATCAAAATTAATTGATTGAAAAAAAAATTTAATCATTTTTTTGCACTTTTCGAAACGAAGAACAACAACAGAAAAAAAAACAAAATATTCTAATGCAAAATAATCTTTGGCACTGGATCGTAAGGTCAAAACTTGACCAAGTTCACATTCACACAAATGCACTCACACAATAAAAATGACAAATGATATTCCTTTTCGATTTTTTTTTGTTTGTTTGTTTCATTGCAAATAAAAAAAAAATTCAAATTTCATATAAATGAAAATTCATTAGTTTCGTTTTGTTTTGTTTTTACTACCACTACTACAGTGGGAAACTTTATCTTGATAATGATAATGAAATGGGAAACAAAAAAAATGAATAATTACCATTGAATCATATTCAAACAAATAGATTTTTTTCGTTTATTTGATTTGAAAAAAAAGAAGAAAAAAAGTTTAATCATATACAGAATGGAAAAAAATGCGATTCACATTTTAATATATTTGAAAACAACGTATAAAACGGAAAAAAAATTATCATTTTCAATACAATGTCATTATCGAGGTCATAGGCCAACAATGACAAGAGAACAAACAGACAAACGAATTAATTGATAAAAATTAATTAATTAATTAACATATATTGAACGGATGAATATAAAAAAAAAAAAAAAAATCCAGTCAATTGAAACATCTTGATAATGATGATGATGATGATAATCTACCGTTCAATTGTTTTACAAACACACACACACACACAATGGCCAAAAAAAAACAAACAAAACATAAAGTTCAGCAAAATTATACACACACACACACACACACACAGAGACAAGCTCTCTCACTCACACACTTTGTGTTTTTTTTATAATTTCTGTACAATATTGGTCATCATCATGATCATCATCATCATCATCATCATCATCATAATATATAATTTGTTTAAAGGGCAAAATAACACGCAAATTAAGATGAAATTGATATATTGGAAATAATGATAAATGATCATGAACAAGATAATAGTGTGTGTGATCACATTTATTTATTTATTTATTTATTTTTTTTTTTTGATCAAACCTTGAATATGGAATGAAACAAAATAGCCGTTTTGAATTGGTATCGATTTTTTTTCGTTCTTATTCAATGAACGAACGAGAAAAAAAAATCAATCAATCATTTAGAAATAAAACAAAACAAAAAAGATTCGATAATTTTTTTCTTCTTTTCAAAGTTTCAATCATTTCAAGCCAGGAAAAAAGGGGAAAACAAAAATTTGTTCAAAAATGAAATGAATCGAGTTATAATGATGATCAATTGATGATGATGATC